AAGCCTGTTGGTCGGTCCCAGTGGACTGCGCATGGACAAAGGCTGAGCTGATGTCAAATATGGCAAGGCGGCCACCGCCTGACCGTTCGCAGGAGCACGCAATGGACGTGAAAATGAATACACGTGCAATCTGTGCACTGCTCTTCTGTTAGCGCCATGCCGCGGCCTTAAGTTGAATTGGAGAATGGCGACTTGACACTGTTTGCATGTGTCGTTTGCTCTGCCCAGAGAAGATGGGTTTGTGTGTATGTACACAGTGAGCAGCCACGAGGTCGCCTGTGGTTCAGCTGGCTTAATGGAATCCAAACAAAAGGTCACATTTCACATTGAGGACGGGCTGATTATTTCTGGAAAGTTATAAAAGGCCTCACACGGGCAGAGATGTTAAGGATTTTTGAGAGTCCCTAAATCATCGGGGGGCGTTAACCTAAAAAAACACATCCTGACAGACGCAAAACACTCCCAAACACAACAACATCAGAAGAAACTTCCAAGAATTTCTGTTGAAATAGAGGGCAAAGGTAGGAAGCTGATGTCCAGACCAAACTGGAAATGAGCAACTGGGAATTTCAAATCATCAAAGGAAAAAACAACGGAGCGTCTATATAAATAAAGACGGATATACTACTGGAGAGTCGGTTGGCGGGGAGGTCACGAGCTCCTGCGCAGGAAGTAGGGGAAGAACAGCAGATAAGAGATCATTAAGTCTCTGGATAATTAAACCAGAGGCACAGGCCCTAATCACACCACATCACAGCGTCTAACAGCACGGCATACCGAGGTGGAATTGCGAGCCGCTAATCATGCTGATGGTGTTCTGTGATTATGTTGAATTTCCCCTACGGTGGCACCGAGGCCAAACCCAGGCAACTTTGAAGATTTTTTTTCTTTTTGGCTCCCCCTTTGATTGAAATACTCTGCTTCTCAAAGCAGATAAACTTCAATAAATAAAAAAATAGCCAAGAAAATATGCTATTAGCGGCCTTTTTAAACTCGTGCGGTGCCTCTGTGTTGCTCTTTGACAGAGGGGCGCCCGCCGTGCACAGCTCACGTGCACCTGCTCACGCCTCCAAACAACAGGTAGACCAGCGCGCGAGTTGCAGGCGGCGTGGTTGTGCTCTTCCCCGATTGGCTGCCTCAAACAGCCTTCTTCACACCAGCTAGCGGGCTCTTCTCCCAGCTCCGCTTATCTCTTTCCTTTTCCTGCCGGGCCGTTTTGTCTTGCGTAAAGCGACGATGCTTTGACTCTGGCGAGGGAGGATTTCCTCCAGGCTGGGGGCAGCTTCTTCCAAACGCACGGCGGCCGATTCGGCCTCGCGGCGGCAGCCGCCCGAGAAGTGCTCGGACACGAAAACGTGTTTGGCTTTTCGTGTGATTTGCTCGGAAGGGACCTCGGTGGATTTGTGCTCTGCTCAAGTGAGGCACAAACAGCAGCAGCAGGAGGTCGATGATAAAAGAGCCCTGTAAAAGGGAAACGTATTTGCTCAAAATGTGGCAGGATGTGACCTTTGTTTTCAACTAAGGGAACAGATGTGATGTCCAGTCCTCTCGCTGTACTTTTAGGTCCAATTACGAGTGCAGAGGAGGTAGTTGGAAGAAGAAATGTTCCTGGTGTGAGGAAAATCCCTGCTTGGTGCAGTGACAGCTCTCACACACACGCTCTTGGATCCCCCTGACCTGACTTAAGCACTTCAACCTGTGCAGCTCCTGCTCCAAAGGTGTGTCGCCCTGCTGTAAATCCGGGGACAGATGATGTCATGGTGACACCAGACATCGTCTCCGAAGCCACAAATCGTTACTCGGGCGCAGTGACACCAGCATGGATGGTGATCTGATGTCTGTGACCAAAGCGTGTTGTTGGTTGCGTTGTAAATACGGAGGAGTGCTGACACGGCTGTGTTTTGTCAACAGCGCCCAAAGAGGGTGGCTGGAAAGTTCCACAGCAGCCTCGGGGTCCTTTAATAAGCAGGCAGTCCCAATGTCACGCTTTGAACTGAAGCTGAGCGAAAACAGGCATCCGTGATGATAATGTTCACCCAAGTAATCTGTGGCATGTGTTCAAAAGCCGCGTAATCTCCGTGGAAGTCGATTGGTATCATCATAAACCCGTGCAAACCAATCGTCACTGTGGATATGCTCTTTTGATATAACGAGAAATCCAAACCGCTACCTTTCGACACGGGAAAACAGAGGAGCAATAAAGTCGAGCTTTTGGTCTGAGCACGTGAAGTCCGTCTGTAAACCCCCTAACTGCTGCACCTTAGACTCGGCAGAAGGTATTTGCTACATCTGCGGGGAACATTAAGCCACAACAGGACAGCGTGGTGCTTGGACGGAGGAAAACCACCCCTTGTTTTTCTAATTGCAACAGCAGGTGATTTCTCCTCCCAGGCCGACACGCTCAGATGCCCCGGACCCATTGGCAGCGCACATCAAAAGCCCCATTGATCGGCCGGACAGATTGGGGCATAGAGATCAAATGCGCTGGAAAGAAGTGTTAAACTGCCGCGCATTAAAGGCAGCAGATTTCGGGGCTAAAAGGGGCCATCTGTTAGCACTGTAGCTAATTTCCTACAGCACTTGCCCAGATTGTGGATACTTGTTGAACAGTGGCCAAAGTGGCGCCGTGCAGGATAGTGACACAGGAGGATGAGGATGAGGAGGAGGAGAGGATGCTCAGGAATATGTAATGCTAATGTTTTAAAGTGAAACAGACGGAGGTTTTGTAACTGTCAGGAGGCAATTTGTTCAGGTCAAAAGGTCCACTGTTGATTCACAGTCCAGTTTACAGTAAATAGGATGTTTATTGGCATTAAAGGGGCCAGTTCGGATCCCTGTTTGATCCTGGTTACATCTGTGGCAGACACGGTAATCCTCTAGTGTTTTGATAAGTATCAGAAAGATGTTGGTGTGACTGGGTTGTGTGTAGGCTGCCAGCATTTTTTCAAAAAAATAAAAAAGATCCTCATAAAGAGCTGACACAGAACAGGCCTGATTCGATGGATTGATTAGTATTTTGATTGATGAGATTTCAAACATATTTTTAAAATCTATAACTTATGAACGAGCCTGCCTGGGAACAAACATTAGTCTTCCAAATAACCAAACAACTGCACCAGACAGCCTCTCATAAATAGCAACTAGCCTAACAATTCCAAAGGCACATTCATTCCACCCTCATTTCCAAATCAAAATGTTATTTTTAGGGTTTGATGCCAGCTGAGAAGACATGAAACAATCAGAAGTCAGCTTTACAAAACACTGTCACAAAGAAAAATGATGTTCCATACAAGGCTGCAGATGGAGCTGCGGTGGGCCGATGTCTGTTTCCAAGGCTGTGTTTATTCTAGAGCAACGCAGCAGAAAAGAGCCTGTTATTTTATTGTTTGCATTGGCCAAGAGTAAATAACCCATACAGCTAAAGACTAAAACATCCTATTAATTCAGGCCGGGGTTTCTGTCTATTTACATTACGACAATGATATAAAAACCCAGATAAAATCACATGGAACTATATGTAAATACTCCGAGGGCTGCATCACCAGAAAGGCGCTTCTCCGTATCAGATCCAGGCCGGTGTTTTTGTTCAGGCTGCACCAAGTAGCCAATCCAAGCACCGGTGCTTGTTTAGCACAGTCCATTTGCTTTACAGGGAGTCGAAACCCGAGCCGCAGAGGAGAAACCTTAACCACAGTCCATCAAATATTAAAGTGTATGGATGTTTTGACGTGTATGAAGGGAGTCACCGGCACCCTATACATCTCAACGAGATTGATGAGGCCCTACAGCCTCTGGCTGCTTTATAAAGTAATGAGATCCCCCACAGATAAGTGAATTAAGGTCAGCTCCAGAAACTAACCAGAACAGGGAGACATGGTTAAACTGGTGTGCAACACTGATCCAGCACAGGATCCGTGGGATTCAGTCAATGGTGGGAACGCCAAGTGTTTCAATACAACAGAGGTATGAGATGTCCGGGCCACTTACTCACACTGCTTCCAGCCTCAATAGTCCATTGTCTCTGAGCTGAGGTCCGACTTTAAACCTGCAAGTCAAAGGCAGGGGGGTTGGAGATGAAGTCATCTCGGCAGGAGAGCTGCTGAGCCACGCACCTTCGCGGTGAGGGAACTCTTCTCAAATCCTGTTCCCTTCACTGTAAATCCTCCCAGCCAGGCTGATCTGCTGCAGGGGTGATAAATGTAACAATGCCTGTACCCAGCGTGAGTTTTCATGTGATAAAAATGCATATGGCATTCACATTTATTTACTCAGCAGCCTTCATATACTCTTTTTTAAGCTCATTTGGTCTTTTCCCTTTCGGAACAATCCCGCTTGTGCGCCAAACGGAGACGGAATGTGTTTTTTAACTGGCTTTTGTGGATGTTAGTTCAGCAAACAATGTGGGGCTACACACAAAGGATACAATCTTGACTTTAATTTACACAAATGTACTTTCAATGGAGAACATTGTGAGATGTAATGTGAGAACGGCCTGGCTGGGAGGCTCGCTCTGAACTGTTTTCCATTAAACATAATAAACACCTTTAAATGAGGAGGATGTAATAGGTCCCCCTCCCCCTCTGAGTGCCACTGTGGGCACACGTGTCTTAAGCCTTTTCATATGATAAATATTCAGATAGAGGGGAGGAAAAAAATCGAGGGCATGAGGGATTTGTCCTCACATATATCCCACACCCCCCAAAAAACAAACAAACAAATAAACAAACAAACACAAAAACAGGAGTACTTTTAAATTCATCCAAAAGATTTACATTTGATCCATTTACGCACCAGATTTCTTTATAAAAGGCAGAATGGTTAGTTTATGGATGGGGAAAGGAGCGGGGGGGGGGGGGGGGAGGGGGGGCAATCAAAAGCCAAGTTCCACTCTAATTTATATGATTGCTGATGATGATCCTCAAAGCAGAAAGAAGGTGGGGAAGGGAGTGGGCGGCGTTAGCTGGCGGTATAAAGCCGGAGGGACGTCAGACGCGGTCCGGGAGTCACCATGCGCTGATGCTCCGCCGCACGCACCTCAGCACCCGCATCAACACGCCAAAACTCAAACAACAGCCGACCGGCACGATGGATGGGCAACATAAAGACCGCAGAATGACTCATTTGTGGATATTGACGTTACTGATATTAGTTTAACCCCTTAGCACTGGATAACTCGGTCTTTTCCAACTTTTTCTTCTGGATACGGATTGCGGAGCTGGATCTTGTCTTACTGGCTTTGGAAGAAGGATTATATTTATTCTGATCACTTTTTGTTTCATCGTCACTGCCTCCTTTTTTTTTTGGGCCACCATCACTTGGAATAGAAGCGTTTTGTGGGAGGACGAACTGATTTTTTTGGGATACGCACGTTAAAACTCTAAAGGATGGCCGATTGGTTCACTTCTATCCTCGCAATTGTTATGACATTATTTGCTCAGGTATTTTTCGATTCTGCTGTAATACTAAGGATTCGTCATTCTGAAAGCAATGCTATGTTTCTTTTTTTTCTGTGCTCACTGTCCATTTCCTTTTAGGTTTTGGGATCAAGTGTGTTCGAGATAGATCTCCATCATTTTCAGAATACGAAAAGTTTGCTGGCAAATGGACGTAGTTGCAGCATGAATGGCTGCAGGACTTATTTCAAGGTTTGTTTGAAAAACTACCAGGCGGAAGTGTCTCCCGGGAGGTGTATATTCGGCAAAAGCTCCACACCTGTTCTGGGGACCGATTCCTTCAGCATCCAGTCGGACGCCAGGCTGCGTCTGCCCCTCAACTTCTCCTGGCCGGTAAGAGCACCTGCGTACGCTGTGCGCACAGCTGGGTCACAGCAAAGATAACTTTAAAAAAAAGATTAAATCGAAAAGCTGATTTGAAAATAAGATGGACCCACATTAATCAAATCCTTACAGTTTTATCAGTTAGAAGCACTTTAAAGTACAGTAAAAACACATTGATGCCTTATTTTATATACCATTGTATCTATTTTTGGGCCACTGAATACAAAGACAATAGTGGGATATTTTATGATGTCAAGTGTTTGTACATACAAAAAAAAAAACTCGACAACATTATGTATGGTTTTCCAGTTAATGTTTTGGCATATCTCTTACCTTATTATTAGTTTGATTAAAAAAAAATGTTATAACAACCCAGATGTTTGTTCCATGGTTTACTTTTTTAAATGATCTTTTTCTCCCTATCTGTCCCCACAGGGTGCTTTCTCATTACTCATCGAAGCGTGGCATTCTCCTCCTGCGGAGCAGCCTGGAGGTGAGCGCCACTCTCCGCCACTAGGGGGCGACACAACGGGGCACTGCCTCGCCAAACCACTGACCCGGTGCTGGTCAACGCGTCCGGCGTGTCCAGCCTCACGGGCTGGTGTTTGTTAGGATGGCTTATGAGTCACGCGGCAATCTTTTTCAATCAGCTCTCCCCAGCACAATTGCACTTCCCTTGTTTTATTTTGGGTTTGCATGGGAAAGTGTGCATGGTTTAAATGGGAATAAAAGCCTTGCCAAAAAAAAAGAAAAAAAACACGTAACCCCCTTTTCCTGGTTTTTTACACTTTTTTTTTGGTTCAGTCTTTAATTGCAGTCATGGGAAAATGTCATTTTCTCACTAAAACATTGTTTATTGTTCTGAAATAGTAATCGGTTATTACCTTTATGAAGAATCAGCTCACGTTTTCTGTTTGTTTTTTTCTTCACAGATAACGCCAACACAGATTTCTTGATAAGTTCTTTTGCCATCCAAAAACAGCTGGAAATTGGGCCCGAGTGGGCCGAGGCTGTGCAGACTCAGAGCCGGGCGCAGACGGAGCTCAGGTACTCATACCGGATCATCTGCAACGAACACTACTACGGGGACACCTGTTCCAAAATATGCGCTCCAAGAGATGACCGCTTCGGCCACTACACCTGCAGGCCTGACGGACAAATAGCCTGCCTGCCCGGATGGAGGGGAGAATACTGCCAAGAACGTAAGCACGACTGGAGATGCGCACGCTTTTCCTTTTTCCGCAGTTTGTTCAGATTATTTGCAGCCAGCACACTGTTTCTGATGATAGGAGGTCTGAAAATAGGGTTTGGAATAACTCTTCTGTGTAAAAAAGAAAAGAAAAAAGCTATTTCTCACCTATTTGAAAACTTCCTGTGTTTTTAATGCTGCAAAATAAATTAAATCTGGGCGTTTTTAAAGCCCTCTTGTCTTGAATTACCTGTTACACGATCGCAGGTGTGTGTGTGTGTGTGTGTTTTCGGACGTGACACACAACTGCACACCGCTGGTCTTAAAGGTGTAATTTGAAGACAGACAGACAGCCTACTGCGCTTTTCTGTTTGGGCGCGTGCGCTTTAATCCCGGGCGGTGGTCGCTGAGCAGCACGCGCCGGGGTTAATCGCGGAATTATCGGGCGCCACGCGCCGCTAAATTGCGGGTTTCTTTTGTTGAGGCGGCGCAGGGCAGCAGCTGCAAACGGGGCTCGAACCTGCCACCGACAACAATGGGGGCAGCTGTCCTGGCTTTTTTTTTTTTTTTTTTTTTTTAAACAGGCATCTGCTGCGGCCTAACCGCAAGTTTAGGAGAGTAAAAGGCGCAAAATCAATGGCAAATATAGGCACAACAGGACAGGAGATAAAAGTTAGGCTTTTTTTTCCAAAGGAAGGGGCAGGGAACTGATAAAACTCTTATTAACATCTTTTTAGAAATACTGAATTAACTATATTAATTAAAAAATGCTTTCCCCCCACAGCGATCTGTCTTGAAGGCTGCAATGAAAGATATGGAACCTGCACATTACCAGGAGAGTGCAAGTGAGTAGTTCAGTACATACTCAGTGTTCAGTTTTTTTCATGGTCTACATCCCCAAACTCCTAAGTGAGAAAATGTATATAGATCTGTAGACATAATCTTTTATTTTAAAGAAATCAGAGCAAATGTATAAATCCATTTTGTGTGTTTTCAATCATCTTGTCATATAAAGTGTATTTATGTATGTAGTGGGCATGGTGTTTCAGTGGTTCCATCTGTTTATAATCTGTAGGGTTTTTTAGATTGTGAGTGAGTGTGTGTTTGTGTGTGAGCTAACTGTCATGTTTTATGTGTGAACAGATGCAGAGAGGGCTGGCAAGGACTCTTTTGTGATGTGTGTAAACTCCATCCGTCCTGTAAACATGGTACCTGTGAAGAGCCGTGGCAGTGCACCTGCGAAGAAGGCTGGGGAGGCATTTTTTGTGACCAAGGTACCGAGCGGCCTCGTTCTCCAGAATGGAGAAAGGAAACCTGATGTTTGTCGTAAAGCTGAGCCGTTTGAATGTGACACGTCGTCTGGCTCCATTGTTCACGCTTCCACCCTTTTGTTCGCAGACCTGAACTACTGCACCCATCACAAGCCCTGTGTCAACGGGGCCACGTGTATGAACACAGGCCAGGGCAGCTACACCTGCGCATGCCTCCCGGGCTTCACTGGGGCCAACTGTGACTTGGAGGTCCGGGAGTGTGACAGCAAGCCCTGTCACAACGGAGCCCAGTGCCTGGTGAGTCCGGAAGTCTCTCTCTCGCCTTTCCCACAACACAGGCCTTCCTGTTTTTGTTTTTGCCGTGGTCTATCTGCTACTCCAGGAGGATGCTATTGATTGTCAAGTCAGTCGATGACCCAGTTCACAGGCTGTGCACTGTAAATAAATTCGAGCCAAAGAGAATGGGGTTTGTCGGGGGGAGTCGCGAACAGGATACGATAAAATAACATCTGACACAGAGCTTTTTTGATAAACTCTCCGTCTTTTTTTTCCCCCCGCAGGACTCTGAGAACGGCTATAGGTGTGAGTGCCCGCCGGGATTCGAAGGGACACACTGTGAGCACCGGACGCTGACCTGCGCAGACAGACCGTGCTTCCACAGCGGCGAGTGCAGGGAGAGGGACGATGGCCACAGCTACGTATGCGACTGTCCAGCTGGCTACACTGGACTCAACTGTGAGAAGAAAGTGGACAAATGCACCTCCCTGCAGTGCACCAACGGTAAAAGAAAAATGTTTAAAAATGGCCGTTTGGCCTTGTAGAAGTTCAACCTTAGCCTTTCACACACTGGCTTGAAAAATGACCCGTTGTGCCCGTGGCTTTTCATCCTGCAGGTGGACATTGTGTGGTCCAGGGTAACCTAAGACTGTGCAGCTGTCGCTCCGGCTTCGCGGGGCCGCGCTGTGAGGTCAACATCGATGAATGCGCCTCCAGCCCCTGCGCCAACGGCTCCACCTGCACGGACCGCATCAACGACTACACCTGCGCCTGCCCCCCCGGGTACAAAGGCCGCCACTGCGACAGGCCCACTGACCCCTGCGCCGCCCGGCCCTGCGCCAGCGGCTGGACATGCTCCCTCGGGCCCAAAGGCAAGCCCGTCTGCGTCTGCCCCCCCCACTACAGCCCCTCCCAGTGCCGGGCCGCCAGCGAACCCTCGGGAAACACACCCAGCCCCAACATAGGCCTGGAGCCCAGCGAGAAGCTGAACTGGGCCGCCATCAGCCTGGGCGTGGGTCTGGTGGCCGTCCTGGTGATTCTCTGCATGGCAGCGGCGGTGGTGCGTCACAAAAAGAAGCAGAGGAAAAAAGAGCAGGACTCGGAGACGATGAACAACCTCTCCAAAGCGGACTTTCAGAGAGAGAATCTCATCTCTTCTGTCGAGCTCAAAAACACAAATAAAAAGATTGATCTGGAGGTGGACTGCCCCACAGAGAAGTCTAATCATAAATACATCAACCACTATCACCTGGACTATAAATCTTCCACGGGGTACAAGGACGAACTGTCCCTTGAGGACAAAGATGAAAACTGTGAAAAGACAATAGAAGACAAAAAACATTTAAGTAGAATGTACAAGTAAGTACACCGAAAGGGATTGAATGAGCCGTCCCAAAAGCATTCAGGTTCTTCAGTTACATCGGAAAAAACTAATATGATGTGTCTTTAACTTGCAGCAAAAGGCCAGAGTGGATTTCAACAATATGTTCCTCCAGAGATTCAATGTACCAGTCGGTCTTTGCATTAGCAGAAGAGAAACATGAATGCATCATTGCAACGGAGGTAACCATTCTTCTAACTCTCAATATTACTAAACCAGTATATAATTACATGTTATCTTTATCTCTGAGATTATAATCTAAACTATCTTTTACTTTATTCCAGGTATAATAATCGGAATATATTACTCATAGTCATCGTTGGATCCCTTGTGGACTGTTTACAAGTGAAGAGACTGGGATTTATTTAAATGCAAGTTGCTGCTCTTGAAAACTTGATAACTGGATGGAAGTTGTGTGCTCTCTGACTGACAATAGGACTAAAGCATCTAATCTGTCTGAGAATGTACAAATGGAAAAAAAAAAAATTCCAAGCAGATTGCGTGGGGAAAAAAAAAAGCGAACAAGCCAATCTGGCTTTCAACTCAAACCCTCATCTTCTCCGTTCAAGTTAATCCGAGGGCAACAGGACGTTTATGCCTGCATGCGAAATAGGTAGAGGAAGTCAATCCTGATGCGCTCCTTGACTTGCAAGTGTAATTATCTCCCATGCCAGGAGCTGACCTTCTCCATTCCTCCTGACCTGCAGCGCACAGTGCAAAGAAAAGTCGCATTTGTGCAAATTCAGAAAAGACTCAAAAAAACTACTGAAGACGGTTCATGTTTGAGGGATGTTTGGATACTTGGGTATATTTGTTGTAAATCAAATCCATTTTTATAAAGAATGTATGCAGACTAGATCACAAAGCCTTATATGTGTATTTGAGAAAAACTCTGTACCCTGCCTTATTTTGAATCCTTTGCACAGCAACTTAGAGGTAACAATAAATGATCAAAAAGATGCAATATGCTAAAACACCATGCAGGGAAACTAGTGATTGGGACTTGTCTACTTTATGCAAGATTACCCTTAAATAAAAACAAAGACATACAAGAAGTGACTATCATACCAAGGACGCCGTCAGTGGAAATTACTGAACCAATAATGTTATTTTGTAAGATTAGCATTGCATTAGTAATTTAATTATATGAAGCACTGATCTTTCTCTTTTCATGTTTTATAAGATTATTTTGTATATACTGTATATTTATATGCCGAGATTAGAAGTATGACCTGTACAACTGTTTTTATGTTGATGCCACCAAAAAGGTGAATTTATTTTTTCAATGTTCTTTTTGTGTTTCATCTGATTCTTTTTTTTTTTGTTTGTTTGTTTTTTGCTATAAAAAGACACACGTAAGACATATCTGGTACACTGTTTGTCGGTCTTTGATTGTTGAGTGTACATGTGGTCCAACTGAAAACCTCGGTTAGACATCGCAGTCATCTGGAAACTCAGTTTATGTCAGCAGAAGCGAAAGTTGGTTTATCGTCTAAATAAGTGGTAATATTTGGCCCAGTAGCATTTCTTATGATACCATTTCTGTGTCCACGATGTGTCAGTGTGATGTGAAATCAATGTGCTAGCAATCATTCAGTGGACGGCCTTGTAAATGGCAGCAATGTAAGGAATATTTTTGACAAAAGCCTATATACTTAAAAACCTGTATGTGATAATAAAGAGTCCTTGTGGTCTTTATACGTAACCGTTTCTCTGAGCTGCCGCTCTACTTGTATCGTTGGATCGCTTAATTGTTAAATAATGACCATCTTATTTGACCCAGGGTGAAAAGCAGCAAAAACCTGAATGACGCTTTGTTTTGAGATGCGGCTTTCTTTTTCCAGAAAGCTTTGACTTTCACAGCCACTTGGGGGCAGCAGGATTTGTAACAAGTAAAAAAAAAAAGTCACTTCTTTATCATCTCTTAGCTCAGGAGATATCAAGTCCAGTGACAGGCAGAGGACAGCTGTGCCAGGCGGCACAATGGTGTAAGACCCATGGACCAGAACACAGACACCTAATGAGCTTAAGAGAGCACAGATATAACTGTCCCTGCTATTTATAGGTAATGTGATTACCTGCTGATGCGACTCTCATTGACTGTTAAACACTTCATGATACTAAATATGCAGTCAAAGTCAACAAAAAGCATAATATGCACACACACATTTTTAATGCTAAAGATATTCTGTTTTTCAAATGAGTATACAAATGTCAATTATTAAGTCAACATGATAGATTAACTATTTTTTTACAGTTTAATGTGAAATATATAGTTTATTTTTCCTGTCCTCTAAAAGCAACTTGAGAATTTTTCTTTAGCTGAGGAACGTGGAATTGGAAGTGGCCACTAAATGATTTTGATTGGTTTATCTTTTGCTAAGCCCGCCTCTTCTGTGATCGGATTGGTCAGGGCCTCGTCGCTTTGACACGTTCTAAACAAGTACACGTGTTTGTACTTAGAGATGCAGGGGAGAAAAGGACAGTGTCTGATCGTCTGAGAGGAAAAACAGCGCTTCGCTGGTAACTATAGAACGATGTGGTGGAAGACTTTTACCCCTACTGCTTTTTAGTCAGCAATCATTTGAATGGACGACAAAAGTTGCGACGTAAAAGTTTTGTTTTTAACTCATACTCAAGTGTCAACAATGAAATCCCAAGAGATTGTCAGGGAGCAGAGCAGCTTGTGGATTTTTGGATATGGCTCCTTAGTGTGGAAACCGGATTTTCCATTTATAAGAAGCAAAATCGGCTACATTGAAGGATACAAGAGACGGTTCTGGCATGGAGATGATTTTCACCGAGGGGACAAAGAAAGGGTGAGAGTTTCAGCAGACTTCTTACAAAAACATTCCCTCACAAATTCATTATACTGTCCCACAGCAAGAAATCATGAGGCCTTTTGGATATGTTTTGTAAACTGATGAAGCCTACATTTTATTATGAGGCACAGAAAGGCTTGATTTTGTTCTGAGATGTTCTGAGTCTTCTCTTTCTTTCTTTTCCAGCCAGCCAGAGTTGTTACACTCGTGGCCGACAAGGAGGTGAGTGTTTTTGCTTCATCTGTGCCCAGTATTCGGTATTAAATCCATATTCCCTACACCATTATTCTAAATAAAGACTATTTTTCTTACCCCGCTTGTGGGATCGTGAGCTACTTTATGATCTTGAGAAATAAAGTTTGACATAGTGACAGTATTTACGGTGATGCATGTGGAAAATTAGACGTGGGCTTTCCCCGGATGAGTTTGATTTGATGTAGTTCTCATATATTTTATATGACATGTTTAAAACTTCTGCTCCAGTGATTTATTCTGTGAAATGATTTCCTGAAATACAGATGCCATGTTAAAAAGGGGGGTCGACCTCAGATGTTTGCACCCTAAATCGTCCTTGTAATTCTTTTCACATAAGTTAGTGCTTGGATAGACTGTAGTGTTTGTCATGTAGCAGAGTGTGCATATGTACTAAGCAGAGCATCATATCTGTGTTTTCTTTTCCTCAGGCGTCCACGTGGGGGGTTGCATACGAAGTGCCTGAATCACAAATCAAAGAGTCTCTTCAGTATTTGAACATGAGGGAGGTTGTGCTGGGCGGTTACAAAACAGAGATGGTGGAGTTCAACCCTAAAGAGAAGAGTCAGGGCCCGCTGCTGGCCCTCGTCTACATCGCTACCTCCGACAACCCCATCTACCTCGGCCCGGCTTCGGACAAGGAGATTGCCGCCCAGATTTCCATCTGCCGCGGCAACACGGGCCACAACATGGAATACCTGCTCCGTCTGGTGGAGTTCATGAGGCTCTGCTGTCCAGAGGTGGAGGACGAGCACCTTTTCTCCATCGAGGCGGCCGTCATGAACATTTTCCAGGACTATGGCGGCATCAGAACCCCAGACCAAAAGTCTCTGTTGCTGGGAACTGTTTAGGGGACCGAACATGTCCGTTTTCAACCGTTCGAAAGGGAAATTGAATCCCTGAAGCTGAAGTTTCAGAGTATTTGGTTGAGCACTCTACTTTTTGTGATGTTTTTTTAAAGCTGTGACAAAGATTTTAGCACGATGTGAAGACAATTCTTCAAAACGTCCAAATACTTTTTGTGTTTTTAAATGTGATGCTTATATCTTTGTTAAAAAAGGTTACTTCAAGTGATGTTTTTTTTAATATCTTGGAATAAAAAACAGAACTCTGCAAGAAGGGAAAAGTGTTAAGTGTTTGTCATACTTTTAGAAGGCTCTCTGTCCTATAGTGTTTACGTGTATGGTTGAAGACTGATGCATATAGACTGTCTTGCTTCATGTTTCCATATCACATAGCCAAGGAATGTTGACTGGCAATTTGAAACACTCACTTCTTTGGGGGCAGCCAAGGAGCGTTCAGAGTTATGGGCATTTATGCTGTTTCATCAACTTGCATCTATGTTATGAACTCTGCACTCTGTGGACTTTTCCACACCAGTTTATAAGTTTGTTCAAAGAACTGTGCAAGAAAAACATTCTTCTCTCTCATACCAGGACGTTTAACTTTAAGTTTTATGTGCCTCATAAATTGTGCAAAGCACACCGGTGGATCCATCATCTAAAATCTAAAAAAAAAGAAAAAAAAAGAAACATGAAGCTAAAGCCCAGTTTAGACATGCACAAGCGAGAGGAACACCTACATCTGAGGACGCACAAACAGCACAACAGTGTGGTGTACAGTGGGTCTGGAGCCGTTTGTGTGTTGGACTGAGCACAGCCCATGCTGTTAGGAGAGAGTGCACGTGGGCGTACCTGGGAGGTGGGGATACGGATCGTATTTCTTTTCCTGTGTGAGCTCTGAACAGGCTGCGGCCACATATTCGCAGGCCACATGTCAGATTTTTTTTTAAAAAGTGGGCTTGTTTTTCAGGAATGAAAAACAAGCCCACGTGTCCAGCCCTGCAGTCCGCTCAGTCCCAGTTTCCTCGAAATCAGCCCCAAAGTAGGTCAAAGGTTGGAACTGCCAAGGCAGGGGACGCACCGTTCCAGAGAGCTCCGTTTTAAACAAACGTGTGGATGGAGGTGTACAGAAAAAGGCCTGATGTAAGCAGCTTTGCATAGTCGGTCATTTGGTATACCAAAGTTCTGTCCTCAGTACATTAATTAGATTAAAATAAAATGTAAAACAGCCACTTTGAGGGCGACTTTGAAAGTTTGTGACCCCTGATGATGTTACTGAGTCACTGGAAAATACCTTTTTGCATAGTTCAGCATAATTTCAGACATTGTTTTGTTTTCGTTGAAACTAAAATGAGCCGCCGTTTAGGCAGCGTGACAAAAACACAATGTTTGTCTTCCTGAGTGCGACATGTTAACACGGTATTTATTCTACATATAAACACAATCTGGAACATGCAGCCCATCACAAACATATCACATTACACAGTGGATGTGATGTACATTTTTGCTACTCAACTCAATTTATTCTGTCCCTGATGTTTAAATGACGTTGATTCATTTAATCTATTATTTTCTTTGAAACATTACTCTGTCTCTTGGTGCATTTTGATTTCAGGGTTTTACATCAGGCCAAGATTAGTCATTGGGAAAACATCAGCAGACCCTCAATATTTACCTCTTTGCCAATGTTATTGAGATATCTAAATAAAAACTCAAATGAATATTATTATTTATCAATTTGCATTGAAAGCTCAGTTATGGTGCTTAAAATAAATTATCACTACAGCTCTCTGTGGCAAATCTCTTTGGGACCATAATAATAGAGATAAGATAGTCAATAAAAGCCCCGAGCCACACAGTCAGAGCACTTTGGCAAAGTGAGACAGGCTTATGAGACCCCGGGAATCCCCGTGTTACAAAATATTTACTCAAAAAACTATGTGCAACCATCTAAAAATCATTTTAAAACATAAAATGTACAAAAACAGTTTATATAAAGAGCTAATTCTATCAACAGAGGGAAAAAATAAATAAATAACGATAGTACACTGTGCTCCCTGGACACTTTGAACCACCAATCAATCGTCCAAAATGTCCTGCCGTCAACAACACATTACACGCACTGTTGTCTGAGCACAGAGCAAAGATTTATGAGGAGCACTGAAAACGCTGCTTATAAATGTTGCATCTGACCTGACACTGTGGCCGCGCGTCCCAAAAAACATGCTGCACTTGGGCATCCACCTGTATGTTAATGTGCACCCGCTTTGAACCCTGACCCATGCTCTGAGAGTGGTGGTCAGAGGGCTGAAGGTCACTCCGAATATATGCTGAGGAGAAAGTGATGTGTCCACAAATGGAGGCTGTTTGTTTTAAAGAGCCAAATCTCTCTTTCTGATGAAGGCCTGTGGGCATCAGGGCTTATGGCCATAAAGGCTGTCCCATCAGAAGAGGAAGATAAACCATTAATGACGCACAAACAGTTAGCAATTAGCAGCTGTTCATCTAGAGCCATGTCAGAGGGGAAATTGCATGGTTGGGACTCATCTATCATTGCCAGTTGATTAATGTTATTCTTAAATCCATCCATTATCTCCAGCATTTTATGTGAATATTGTTTTTTTGACCAAATATAGTTTTGAGTTTTTTTAACTTAACTAACTCCGGCCAAAAAAATGTGTATCCATCAAGCATTTCAGACATATTTGCTTTGCTGAAGTGTCCACCTCCCACCCAAGTGTGCTCAGTCCAATGATAAGATATTTAAATCAATGTCATTTTTTTCTGCTTTTGTTTTGTTTGATTGTTTCTTCTCCAGCATCCCAAAGGCATGACAGAAAACTTTATTAGCAGCATATATAGGAAGACAATGGTACTAAGAGAAGGTGAGGGTTGTGCTTCCTGGTCTGCCTACTGTGTTGGAAAGACAGGAAACGTCAGAGTCCAACTCAGCTACACTGAGTTGGACTGAGCAAACCTTGTGGATGGTTCTGTATTAGTGACTACAGGTACATAAATCCACAACATGTAGCTGATGCACAGAAAAAAGCTGTGATCACTCACTGAATTCCACCATACATCCAAAAGCTCATATTGTTTTCTTCATACAGTTAAACATAAATAAGTAAAAGACTATGTTGAGAATGTACGATAGATAGTACTGACTTTTAAATGCTCTTTATCACGTATTATGTTACTTTCTGACATTTTGGTCATAATGTTTTTTTCATGAAGCTAACCATGTAGAACTGCCAAGGCCCCCCGAAATTGACATATTGCGACCTTATGTATTGATCTGTAAAACCTCAACTTTAGGATTTATTGTTCATATCATTTGATCAATAGTAGTAAAAACTATCAGTCAATAAACAACCCTTACCATACACTCAGGGCTCTTCGGATTTAGTACCATGTAGGCTCATTCTGTATGAACACGCTTGGTCAAAAATACAAGGAGGATTTATCTCCATATCTGTATTTTGCTTTTCTTTCTCTGGTTTTAACTGCCAAGCAGTTAAAGTAAACGTTAACAACATAAAATGACATAAATAGATCCTTTACAAGCCTAAAAAACTGCCTTATTTTTTACATATTGCTGAAGATGGCCCAGATCCACTTTCATTTACATTCGAAAGTAGACAGGAAAGCATTTTGAATGGATGTCAAACAGGTGAAAGATGTGTCTCCACAGTTTTCATGTTAAGGTCTAGTAAAATAATCAGGTACAATGTGGTAATGTGGCACAGTCCCAGTGAAATCAACAATGGGTCAGTGTTCCAGTAAAACATGACCATGAACCAACACGCAGAAACACAACGGTTCCCATGGATGGAATGCCGTTTACATTATCTTACTAACAAATTCCCTCGGACGTTTTTACTTTTACGGTGGCCATGACACTGAGAACTCCAAGCTCTCAGGTACCCTGACTCACTTTCTTAGCATGAATCAAAAGACCCTGGAGGTTTCCTGCAATTTTTCTCTGGAGTGTTTTCTCTCAAAGAGCCGGAAAGGCAGCTCTGTTTCCCACAGTCTCACAGAGCTTCTGCATGAATGCTGTTTTACACGACTGTGGCTCACAAGCACTTTTGACCGGCCTCAGTCACTCTTTGCTTTAGCATTTGGACTGTTTGAACCTGACGAGGTAAAAGACAGTTTAGTCACTCACAAACTAGCAGCTCAAATGGATTCCGTTCTTTCATGTGTTGACCGAACTGTTTCCTCGAGTTATTCCACGTAATGATGCTTCATGTTTGTTTGGACAAATTTATTCCTCTGGAAAGATCACGTTCTCATGTTAATAAGCCATTTGCGACAGAGTTTCCTGTTTAACTAGATTCTAATCAGGATGTGCAAGAACACATGCTGCTATGTGGATTGAAGTGAAGCCAACTGCAACTACGAAAACACAGATGCTTCAAAGGCCAAAGTGTGAAACCCCTGTTGATGTTGTTATCAGTTCCCTGTGATGAAGTGGATCAAACATGAAAAAACTAACAAATCAATGCAGATTCTTATTTGTTTGTTCTTTATTTGGAATCCGTCTTACTTATTACGTGCTGATTCTATGCCCTGACCCTCTTCTTTGTTTTTCCTAAATCCTTATGATAAGAAAAGATCTGTTATCACTTTTAACCTGCTTTCAATTTACTTTGTCTCCCCTCTCCATGTTACCAGTGGGATCAACCATTCCAAGTAAAGGGGCAACAGAACAGGTTTTAAATAATGTAGACACAGGTTTGGCAAATGAATTCATACTAACCTTGAATAATCTTCAATGATTTAAATGATGGCAGGCCACTGTACGGAAATCGTCAAGTTAGAACATAGGTCCTGCATTACTGATGAAGATAAAGGAGTAAGTCTATAATGAAGTATTGTTTGGTGCAACTGAATGAAGTGCAAAGCAAAACCAAAGCCAACGGCAGCAAATGTGTCCAGTACACAAAAACATTGCTCTTGGCTGGATTGCGGTGTGGACTTTTCTGGTGTGAAAATACCCACCGTCTACAGCCATTTTCACACACAAACACCAGAGAATGTCCTGAGAATTATGTCAGGGCTTTGTCCAAAGTTAACCTGAAAACACCCACTTCACAAGAGGATATCTCTCACTGGAAAAATGCGTCGTCACAAACGCTAATACTTCAGAGTGGCACCTGGGTGCCAACAGGCTCTACTGGCAAGACATGGAGCTAAAAATGTGTTGTTGAAACGGCCCTGCTTGTTTACAGTACATTGAAAATGGCAGTTGAGACTCTCTACTCATCTCTGATGACGACTGTTTTCGTGTTGTTTCTAACATCATGTGCATTTCAACATATCTAACCATTACTGTCAGTCTGCACCATGCAGGTCAGCATAAAAGGGTATTAGCCAGCAGCCCTGTGAGCACACACACTCCCTCCAGGCCTTAGTCAGCTGATATGATCACACATGATTTAACTCCTTTTCCTTTGTCATTACAAGATAACAGGCTAGGTAAGCTCATTATCACAAGTCACAAGGAAATGTTCCTGACATTTAAATTTTGGCGTTCGGTTTTTGCCGAATATGTTTTATTGATGCAAAGCATACGTGGAAAACCTTTCAAATAGCTCTGCAAAGCTTTTTTTTTAACCAACCATGACGTCCATCCTTACCAAATCCAGCTGGCTCTTACCCAGATTCTCATCTTCTCTCTGATAATGATAATGAAAATTGTTATTTGACTTCCCTTGATTAACAGAACTGAAATGATTCGAAATGAACTGGAATGAAATTTATACCGACACTCAGTATGCAAATGTTTTTAACTTTGGTCAGACTTTCTGTGTTCAAGACATCAAGTCTTGTAGTAATATGCAGATTGAGATGATATATTGAAGGGATCTTAAATATGTGTTAAGTAAATCCATTTAACAGTTCAGACCCATGTTCCCAGGGTCAGAGTCACCATGCAGATTAGTTAAAGCATACATTTTGACGGGTTTAAATGGGGGCTACTGTACATCCCACCCCGGATAGAGGACAGACCCCTCTAATGCCCTGTAGCGGGTTAAGTGGGATTTGGTAGATGCTTTTGGATTTTTGCCAGCATTTAATGGACTATGACTAACTATGCTGACATAGATGCCTGGTGGCCAACAAAAAACCCTCCGACATCTAGGCTTTACTTAAAAATTGGGACAGGCTGAATCACCCTAAGCTGGTTGAGATCTAAATGATACAATCTTGGTTGAAATATTGCTTCAGATTATGCAAATGCTTTGATCCAACAAAGAAGGTGAGGCAGTATATCCCGAATCCGTGGCTTTGGTTTATGCTTTTTGCTGGCTGTAACTGGCTGCAAGTGAAGAACCTGAACAATAACTTTCAGTGCAGAGCTATGAGTGTGGGGGGGGGGGGAGAAGTGGTTGGTGGGGGTGTGGTTCTGAATTCTCGTGAATCGCTTTGCGCAGTGACCATATGGTGCTAGAATTTGAGTTGATATGCGAGTGGGCCCGTGACCCCTTCTAATAATCTTGAGACTTTTGCTACATGGCATCTTACAAAGCACGAACACAACCTAGCAAAACACTCACAGATATAAGCCCTGTGAGTTTGTTCCTTTGGAGATCAGTATGAACATTCATGGTCCTCTGTGGATGAATCCTCATAAGGGAGGGATCCCATCAACGGGAAAGTCACACGGTTGTTACAAATGCCAAAACCTCTTTCTTTCGGATGCACACGGGCTTCATAAACTCTGAATTTCTCTGTCAGCAGATTACTCTGCCTCATGTTAAGATCAAATCCAAATTCATGATAGAATGACCTCTGACCAGGTCCTATGGCCTGTCCTGTCTGAAGTGCAAGCAGGGATGCTAAAGACCTATTGAAGGGTGACCTGAGCAGGACCCAAAGGCCAAAAGAGCAACTGGTATACTATGTTTTCACTGACATCCACCCTCCCAGCTTCCTCTAATCCTCATCTCTAAAGAAGTAATCCAGTATTTAACAAATACATATGATGGAAGAAATGTTATGAAAATTGTTGTTTGTCACTGTCACATAGTTGACCTGTCTACAGCGGGCCCTGTTGATCTCTGGCTGAGGGAGGAGTATAATCTTTTAACACCTATTTGGCAGATCTCTCCATTGTTGTGAGATCTGAAATGCATCTGGAACTTTGAGCTATTGCTTTGTTAAATTGATATAAATTTAGGGGAATTAAAGACTTCGTTGATGCCCCAAGGGAAATCATATTTTTCTTTAAAAATCTAATGACAATGACGAGTCTGTGGGTTAGAATTAACTTCTGTAACTTTAGTGTATACACAATAAACCCTAAATCAACATTTTCAAGGGACTGGGACTTGTTTCATTTTAATTCACAGTACACAAATGATTCAAATAAGCTCACAGAAGTCAAACATTTAATACATTTATCATTCTGCCATGGAAATGTATGGAATTAAGGCATGTGCTGAGATCCTAAGCCAACACGCTCCGAAATACTTACTAAGCAGATTATCTCAATGAATCTATGTCAGGATACATAGCAGCATGTCTAGTCATGCACAGTGAGTGTGAGAATGTGGACACAAAACATGTTTACAGAAACAGATGCCGCTGTGGAGTCTGACCTACTGTCGCAGCACAATGCTGACATCTGCTGCTGGAGCCAAGGTGTGTGAACGCCACACAGAGACCGACGGCCTGTTTGCAAGGTGCCTGTGTTTCAGTAAATGGTGTGGAAAAGCTGCCCCGAGTTTGATCTGTGACTAAAGAAGATGATACAGGAAAAAGAATCTGTGAATGTGGGGATATTTAAAGCCCCTTTCCTGTGTTTGGCATTTACCTTGGGCTAAGGAACAGCATTGTGACTCACAGCTGTCAAAGGTTTGGCAGGGGATTAAGCTGGAAACATGATGTGTGTCGGGAGGGGGGTAAGCAGATGTTGTGTGACCATTGGGAATAAACTCTATCATTTACACCACAGGTGGTGGGAAAAGGGGGGAGCACAAGGGAGAAGGGAACAAGTGAATGAGAAACAACGGCAAACAGGAAGCAAAGACCTTACAACACAATACTCCCAGAGTTTCCTGCAGGCTCACACAGATAAGCAGCAGCACTTTGCTTAAAGTTGCATTTTCACCCCCAAACGTTTCCCGGCTTTTAAAATCACATCTTACAAAGCTTGGACTTTTTTTTCCTGAATAGCTGTGATTTTCCAGACCAAAATTCCACAAGGCCCTCTGTACTCACTGTGATCTCAGGAAAGGTTAAACGATTTGTGCATTGAAAGCATTTCCATGCAAAAGGCAGTGAGAGGTGAAGTTTCTTTACAATACTGGTAAAAATAGGAGTTTCTGTCCACAAAAAGGTCAAATACATCAGTGAAATGTGCAGGTGCATTATAACATATTACACAACAAATATGAAACAAGTCCTTTAATTGTTTGACCAACTGATATAGTATAAATGTATCATTATTTTGTCAATCATTTAAGTAATCTTTAATGTAAAAACAAGTTTCCAGCTTCACAGATGCTTCGATTTTTGTTCTGGGTTGGTGTTCACAATTTTTGGAGAAATAATCCTGAATTAAAATGATCATTTGCTGCAGCACTTCAATGTTAAGGAAAAAAATCCAAGCATGCTGATTTTAAAATGTTGGCTTGAAGGTGTTTTGCTCTATAAATAACTTTTATTATGTATAGGAACTGAGGCTCACAACATGCTTGCAAAGGGTTGTAATCCCTGCATATGTGATGCTGAGGTAATCTGTGGTTGGGCTGAGAGTTTACTTGTGAAATCAAAGTTGAGTTGGCACTTTCATGCACAGTGCGCTGCACCAGTTATGAATAAAAAGCATCACTTTCCAGAGAACTCGACTCATATCATAGCTGCTTTTGCAGAAGCATCCATGCACTGCGGTCGGGCTCTTTGTGGAGGGACTGCCAGGACTTTACTTTCAGCATGTGTCAGATTAATACCGTTATGCATGCTGATGAACTCGGTCACCCTGAAAAAAAGACAGGATGAACCACAGCACATGATGCCTCTGCTATAAACTGTGGCTGATGACAGTCTAACAATGCCAATCCAGCTGTGCCCTCTGCCCTTTAATTTGCCTTCTGTGCGCTTTTTTGGAATCTGCTGTTTTTTGGTGGTGATGAATTGCGTGGCGTTCTACCATAACAGGTTTACTTTTTTATGACTGAATAAGCATTGCATTTCTGATAAACAGTTTAACAGAAGCGCAAATCAAATCTCTTGACACTGAAATGAATCAACCTCTCTGTCAAGGCTGCTGTATACACTCAGAAGGATGTATTGCAACTTTTTTGTCTTAGTGGACTGACTGATGAATTGAGAGTGTAAAACTTGTTATAAAATTCTATAGTTGAAGTCCTGAGGGGAATTTCTCCAATGCTTATCTCCATTCAAACTGGTCTTAAATTTCCGGAGCCTCAATCTAAATGGAGAGTGACAGCTGATAACATGAATTAATGAATCGTTATCCGTTGTCAAACAAATATTCCTGAAAAAATGTAATCTATGATTGTAATCTTTAATGCTATTTTAGTCCTGTTGGTGTTCTAGTAAAACCATCAGTGTAGACACTGCATTTTTAAGGAGACATCTTTTGGACTATCTGTAAATCATTCAAGATTACATTTTCATGTGTTTGATAAACTGTAAATAAATGTCTTTTTTACTCTTTAAAAAAACGTTGATAAGAAAAACAGTTCAGAAGAAAAATGACTCATTTTGTTGAAAACGTTCAAGATGAAGCCAGACAGTTGGAGCATGATCGTGACTCAACACCGCCCTCTGCTGCCGTGTAGTGATATTACACCCAATTATTGGCTCATTTGTTATTCTGAACAGCGAATTTATTTATTTTCAAATAAACTTTGAATTAAGTCTGCTACAACATGAAATCTGACTTACAACTAGCAACAAAAGAAAAAAAACATAACTACGGGTTAACGTTTTTTTTTTTAAATCTGTTAACATAATTTTCTTTGCAACACGTGGCTACTAGTTTGAATCATATTCTGTTGTACTGTCGCAAGCCTCCCAAGTCTCGTCAGCTGACCTTTAAACCCAATGGATCTTAGAGGGGGTGACTAGAGAGTATGCTTCAAACGGAAACTGGAAAGTGCTGAAAGGGGGTCGCTCATCTGATTGGGCGCCTTTGTTCTTTCAAATTGAGGTGGCCCTTTTTTTGTAACCAATGCGCCCATGAGAGGATGAGCAGGAGAGGACATCTTTCACATGCACTGCTCCGCAGCTCGATCATGGAATAACACAAAGTGCGACGATGGCGCAGGCCAGTCAGAGACAGGATAAAGCTCACAGGGTGAGGGAAGAGCTGAGCTGCATGCTGGTTGGTGATGGGGCTGTGGGCAAGACTACCATGGTTATCAGTTACATCTTCAATGGATACAACAGCGAGTACAGGCAAACAGCATTTGATGTTTTCACTGGTAAGTTTTTTCTTTCTTTAAGTTATTTCTCTTAAACTACTGCAGATGCTGATTTCTACTAATCTGTTAAATGTCCAGGTTTGGTTCATGTGAATGGAGTTCCAACTCGTATTAAACTGATCGATACAGCTGGGCAGGTAAAGTTCTCACATCCCTGTCAAGGCTTTTTTTTTGTTTCTGAGCCCTTTGCTCCTCATCTTATGTCATTTTATCTGACAGGAGGAGTTTGGTCATCTCCGCTCTCTGTGTTATGCCCATGTGGACGTCTTCATCCTCTGCTTCAGCCTTGTGAACCCTGGTTCCTTCACCAACATCGCCTCCAAATGGATCCCTCAGATCCGTGACGCCAATCCCAGCTCTCCGGTCCTTCTGGTGGGAACTCAGTCAGACCTCCGTCATAGCGTGGACATCCTCATTCACCTGGACCGACAGAGCAGCAGACCAGTGAGCTTTCGCCAGGCCAGGAGGCTGGCTCACAGGATCCGAGCTGATGAGTATTTGGAGTGCTCAGCCCTGACGCAGCACAACCTCAAAGATGTGTTTGACTGTGCTGTCTTTGCTGCCATGAAGCACAAGCACAGAGGCTGTAAATCCAGGCAATTCAGCCTGCTCAAACACTTAAAGTCATTGTGGGATTGTCGATGGAGAAACATTTTCCGATTTATCTGAGAAGTAAAGTGACTCAACCAGATTTCACAGCAAATCTGTGCATTCTTATCAAAGTACCTCTCTCTCAAACATGGATTTGTACAACATTAACAAGATTTCATTCATAGAGCCCGCTTTTTTCTCCGTTGAATTAGACTTTTCTCAGTTTCTTATAGTCATTATGGTGTTTATATTTGTATGTTTTTTGTACATTTTCCAATAAATGTACAACTGTATAACAAGTATTCATGGCCATACATTGTGTTTTGCTTAAATCGTCAAATCAGGAAAAATTCAAACTGGAGATTCTTAGTCGAAGCTACTGTCAGTGTAGAAATGGAGGGAAAAGACAATGCACCACTCAGGACAAATGGTCACCTGCTGGTGCTTTGAAGTGTTGTTTTACAAGACAAAAGCCATTTAATTCTGTCCTTTGTTTGAAAGCTTATTATGGGGTATGCAGTCATTTAGGAAATCCCCACTGGCATTTGCTTTGCTAAAATCATGAGCATTTTCGTTTGCAAAAATCTAGGATTTAAAAAAGTCTTTCGTAAAACATCTACTTAGTGTGACAAACTGTTACTGTATTTTTTATTTGCCACAGGTTATGATTTTCTAAAAAGCATGTGAATTACAGAAAAGTTTGGTCAAATTGTTTCTCTCAATGCAAACCTTTAGCACACTTATCAAATCTAAAACAAATAATTTTAAGTTCCTTATATGTGAAAAGAGCTATGTCATTATGCAGTTGTTCTTAAACGGCTACTGTAATCAAAAGATTATATAAACATCAATACGTTGGGGGCAGCGTAGAGAAATCGGCTTGCATAACTACGTTTCCCATCATGCAACAGCACCGTTCTGTTCTCTGTCCCTGTGACTGAAAATAATCTGATCAGCTGATCTGACCTGGCAACAACATAACGTAGCTACAGAAATTTGTCAGGGAGGGGGCTGAAGAACAAAACAATGACACTGCTCGGAAGGATTCAAACACAGTAACACTTTAAAGACTTTTAAAACGGAATTGTGCGGATTTCCCTCCCGGTTAACGCTAACGAGTCCGCGGATATCCGAGCTATTGGCATCAACCAGCTGTTGTTTTTGTTGATATGTTATTACAGTTCAGTTGTCAGCGCTAGCTGCTTGTTTGGACGGCTATAAAGTGATAGGGCTTGCTGGCTCGCCATTTACAGATTCTCTTTGGAAAAAGTTCAAACTGTCCACCGGCAAGAGCTAGCCGTAAGCTAAGTATCCCTACTTAGATGCCAAATCATAAACCGAATTTTCGAGCGAGCTTTTGAGGGTCAGCTCGCTCGCTAGCCTGTTGTTAGCATCAATATTTGCACAACAATTTCTTTCAGGGAGAACTCATTGTCGATTGGTACTGCCTACTTGTTAATAATTTCGTATCATTTTACTGTTTTCCACTTATTTTAGGTCCATTTTCTGAAGTGTTGCACGTAACTGCCTACTTTATTAGAAAAACAAGCTAACTGCTAGTACATAGATATCAGGTGTAACTCAAGGACTCGTCTGTTACTACTTCATTGCCTCAGAGTTCGTTGCTATAAACGCGTAAAAGTTTGAGTTCCATACCGCAAAAAACATTTTTCATAAAATACTACTTTTCAGACTTTTACAGCTAGTGCCACTGAACTTTTACCATGCATTTGCCGTAAGTTTATATAGTATTATTTCGTCATTTCAGTTTAGAATTACTGCACGTTGAACGTTTTGCATTAATAGTTACTGGTGCTATTGTTAAAACTGGTCCAATCAGAGGAAGTCTGTACTAAAGATCACTTTGTAAGAAACAATGAGTGGACATGGCTCGTCTTCTGAAAAGGGAGTCAACACTAGTCTGATATGTCAGGAGAGTTATTCGTGTGGTGGCTCTGAAGAGGCTGCATTTGAGTGCGATGACTGCAAAAGTCTCCAGTGTGTTCGCTGTGAGCTCGAGCTCCACCGTCAGGAGCATCTGAAAAACCACGAGCGTGTCCAGATAGGTCCTGGGCATGTCCCCTACTGCGATAACTGCAAAGGGAGTAATGGGGACAGTGGCAAGCGTCAAAGATCTGTGGTTCGCTGCCAGAACTGCAAAGTTAACTTGTGCCAAGACTGTCAGAAGCGCACCCACAGCGGGAGCAGCAAGAAGAAACACCAGCTCACTCCTTACCCTCCACCACCCAAACCTGCCGAGGTCAACTCCGTCCCAACATCTGCCCAGCCTGCTGTTCAAATGAGCGATGAGATCAAATCTCACAGATCAAAACTCCTGGAGAAGGTTGCCAGCTTTCTCTTGGTGGATGAGAATGAAGAAATGCAGGTATGTTCTGCTGATGTATCAAAGAGTAGGACCATTAGCTACAGAACAAGAAGCCTTTTGTTTTCTGTGTCCCATTAAAAGTGAGTGACTGAAGTCATCAGTTTTAATCAAATTCTTTTTGTTCCCGCAAAGGTAAAAGATGAAGCCTCATTCATGAAGCACCTCAGCTGTTACCCCGATCAACTGCTGAAAGTGGTCTCCATCTTTGGTAACACGGGAGAGGGCAAATCACACACCCTGAACCACACGTTCTTCATGGGGAGAGAAGTGTTCAAGACTTCTCCCGCGCAGGAATCATGCACAGTGGGGGTTTGGGCGGCGTTCGACCCCATCCATAAGGTTGTGGTCATCGATACAGAGGGCCTGCTTGGGAACAGTTCAAAACAGGGCCAAAGAACCCGTCTCTTACTCAAGGTGTTGGCCATCTCCGACCTCATCATTTACCGCACCCATGCGGACCGTCTCCATGATGACCTCTTCAAGTTCCTCGGGGATGCCTCGGAGGCTTATTTGAAACATTTCACAAAGGAACTTAAAGCTGCAACATCCCGCTGTGGTCTGGATGTCCCCCTGTCCACATTGGGCCCTGCAGTGGTCATCTTCCATGAAACTGTGCACACTAAACTGCTAGGCTCAGGTAAAAATGATGTAAATAATGTTCAGTTTGACTGTTTTTTCAGTTGCTGTTGTCTAACGGCTTTGTAAACTTTGATCCATTTCCTCAAACTGACATTTTACAATGCAGCCAGTTAACCTTTGATTAGTTGAAACACTTTGACTTCTTCTCTGTAACTTCAGTTCAGTTTTTTCTTCCTTGTTCTGTGGTAAGAAACACAACTTGCGCAGACCTCCAATGCTTTCTCTTGCTATTGTCAAAGAGTTCTATAACTATATTTCAATTTAGGAAGTCCTCTGTAATGCAGAAAAAAGAAATCAGATAAGAAGAGCTCAAGTTCCAGTTTTGGTGGCTTAAGGTGTTTATCTCACAGAAGCGTATCGACACTTTATTGTTTTTGGGGGAAGAAGAAAAACAGGAGTGTTGAGTACACATCGTGTCATTTGTTGACAGTAAACTGAAACACTAAGAAACTTTTTTAATAATCCTTTTTATTAAAGTATCATCTTGCTTTGGGAATTTTTTATGGAAAAGGGTTTAACTGCTTCAACTTCCCTAAAGCAGGTACTTTGTTACATATTGACCAGTGTATAAGCATCTCTGGATTACATGCTCCACTTCAGATCCGGACTTTTTCAAAAGCTCTCTGAGGAGGCCCAGTCTGCTGGGATTAGAGTATTGACCAAACAGTGGGGATTAATTTACTTTGACGTGAGGTTTTGTTACTTTCTAAACATTTTATTTGTACAAAATGCCATGCTACAGACCCAAAGGGGAGATTATAATAATTATTAGAAATGCTACATGATTTTTTATTCTATATTTTTTGTATTTAATACTGGTGTCATAAGATTCACAGTCACAGTGTGTACAGCAAATGATCCCATTGGTTGTGAGTATTGAAATATTTCAGAAGAACTGTTGAGGCAAAGACAAATGGTTTATCTACAGTGTATCATGAGGCTAACAGCTCCCTGTTTCTCCCGCTGTAGAGAAATCATCTGAGTCAGTGGATCGGCTGCTGCTGGAGCGCTTCACAAAGCTCTCCCGTTACCCCGAAGCCTTCAGCTCTGTGCAGTATTGGGGCACGCAGACTCTCACTCCCCCCACGGACTTCCGCGGCCTGCAGGGTAAACTTGAGCAGCTCCTGGATAACAACGCCACCCGCTCCCCGCGCACCCCTGTTGTCATCTTCAAAGCCCTGCAGGTAGAACTCTGAGCTGCTCAAAAGTCAGCCAGCCTATCAGTGAGCGGCATGCTGCGAAGGTGTACGTTGTTCAGAAGACAACGTGCATCTGAACTAGTCACACAGGACATATTTTGTGCTTGTTTATCTTATAAAATATTGTATTCGTTGCTGCAGTTATAATAGTGAATAATAGTTAACGTGTCTGTTGGTTATTACTGTCATTGCAGGCATTGAGTGAGCGCTTCAATGGGGAAATCGCAGGTGACCTGTTGGGACACGGCTGCTTTTTTCCCGATGAGTACTTCACCTGCTCCATTCTGTGCCTCAGCTGTGGGTCAGTACCCCCGTTACTCTCTCAGTTTATCAACACCTGATTGGCATGCTGACTTAGCTCTCGTGTCACAGATCTGGTTGCAAGAACAGCATGAACCACTTAGGAGAAGGTGTGTGCCATGAGGCCAAGCATCGCTGCCGTTACTCCGCTCAGTATGATAATCGCATTTACACCTGTAAGGTAAGCACAGCCCTCCAGCTTTATCTTTGGGTGCCCTGTTTTGTATTTTGGCAATGTTGGTCCTTTTGCTGATTATGTGTAAGCTGAAGTCTTTATTTTGTGCATTTTTTTCAGGCTTGCTATGAAGGAGGAAGGGAAGTTGTTGTTATTCCCAAGACCTCTGCCTCCTCTGACTCTCCATGGATGGGTCTCGCCAAATATGCCTGGTCAGGGTGAGTAGCAGGGGAACAGTCATGGTTACCTTCTTTAGTAGAAGTGGTTTAGTTACTTTGAACTTTACAAAGTCTTTACACAATCTTTTTTTGTTTGTGAACTCAAACTTGCATGTTGAATAAAACATAAAGATAATTTATTTTATCATTCTAAATCCATGTTTAGGTACGTTATTGAATGTCCCAACTGTGGAGTGATCTATCGGAGCCGTCAGTATTGGTATGGTAACCAGGACCCTGTGGATACAGTAGTTCGCACTGAAATCCAGCATGTTTGGCCGGGGGTAATGAGACAAACCGTCTGCATTTAAAATAAATTCTTAGTCTTTACTTAATCATGATTTAAAGATTTGATTGCATATGCTGCTTTACAGACTGAGGGCTTTTTAAAGGACAACAGCAATGCTGCACAGCGGCTTCTGGATGGAGTCAATTTAGTGGCCCAATCTGTGTCAGAGCTCAGTGTCAAACCTGCCAAGGCCGTCACTTCTTGGCTGACAGATCAGATCGCCCCAGCCTACTGGAAACCCAACTCCCTCGTCTTGGTGAGTGACACACAAAGCCCCACCCTCTTCCACCCACTACCAACAGCCAAGTCAACATTTTCGTGTCCAGAGGGATGTTTACTCTTTGACATGCTATGTTCCTGTTACACAACCTATGTGTGCATGTCACAAGATAAAACAGGGTTGCATCCTCCTCCCCTTTCCTCTTGCTCAATAACAGCATGTGCTGTTGTTTTTCTTTTTCACAAGGTGTGCCACAAGTGTCACATAGTCTTCCAGGATAATGACACCAAGCATCACTGCCGTGCCTGTGGGGAGGGCTTCTGTGATGGCTGCTCCTCCAAAGCTGCTCCGGTCCCTGAGAAGGGCTGGGGTCTTGCCCCTGTCAGAGTCTGTGACGTCTGCTTTGAGCAGAGAGCTTCTTATGCAGGTATGGATTCTTAGTGATGTCACACTGTTCCTCTTTGTGTTCAATTCTTCCATAGACCATTTTGTTCTAATGTACCTTAAGCAAGATATTTATTCTGTGTGCAGAGTTAGTTGAGCCACAACTTGAGGAGGATGAAGGTGGAACTCTTGCCAGAAAGGTTGGAGAAGCTGTCACCAACACTTTAGGAGTCGTTGTCACAGCTATTGACATCCCACTGGGTGAGCACTGCTATGTCCTAACAGTATATAACAGGCGTAGATTGCACAGTAAATGATCATATGGTACAATGCACAATGCCCTCTGTTAGTCATATCATAATTACATACAGTGGGAAAAATGTGATCTAGTTTGAGCTAAACATTATATAAGTTTCTTCCCAGTAAAAAAAAACAACCAAAAACAGCTGTTGTAAAATATCAAATTCAAACACACATTAACCACAGTTCAAAATACTTAACTGCTTAACATATAACAACATCTTCATGTACAAGTTTCTATACTATTTTTTGTGTAGATTTTCACCATAGAGATTCCAGAATTATGACTATGAAACCAACACTGAGACTGTCGAATGTGAGACTATTAAAATAAATAACTTTAATGCAACCAGGACCATAAGACAAGACATAAGACACTCACTCTTTTATCTCTCTCATTTCTCTTAGACCTCAAGCTATTAACCCCATTCAGCTGCATATTTAAAAGTCAATGATAATGATTATTTTACTGGTTGCTTTTAAGAAATATATCTGATACAATTCCTTAACGACTCTTTTACTATTCTGGATAAATCAGTTTTCCATCAAAACTCCAGTACAGCTTTTATCACTTACACCCGATTTCTTTACCAGAAATGGAAAAGAGTTTAATAGTAGCAAAGGGTATATACTTAACCTCTGTACATTAGGTGACTATATAAGCTTGTGTATGACCTATATTTACCTCTGAAGGACTTACATAAATTTGTTTGTGATAACCTGATATCCTGCTGAAAATGTCGGTGCACATTTGACCATCCCAAAAATACCCCTGGGCGAGATGGCTCTGCATTAATCATTTTCCATTAAAATTTGCCCACTTACTTACACATGCAAGTCTTGTTTCTACATTTCCATGGTAACCAAAACCAAGCCAGAGAGACATAATTTCATAGAGAGTTATGGTACACTTTTGACATTAGTGAGAACAAACATGTATGGACAAAGCTCAAGTGAGGTCAAATAAATGTAGGTACAACACAACAGTATTTAATTAGCAGAGCCATATGGAGGAGGCTTAATGCTTGTTTGTTCTCTGCATGTAAATTCAATTAATAGCTTTGAAATGCATGCTTTATGGGGTGTAATGTACCAGGCTGTTTTGGCTTGGAGCGGCTTCAAATGAGCAGCAAAACTCAAGGAACACGTTGCTCTGTGCCAAGAAAATGCCTGGAACATAACTCGAGAAAACCTGATATTAGCTCTCAAGTTTTAGTGTGATTTAATCAAAGATCTCCCACAAGAATATGAGTTAATAGTTGTAATATTTTCAGTCTTAGACAGGGCTCTGATTTCCTTTCCACCTAGTTCTCAGTCTAAGCAAAGTGAAGCAACTCACGGCAGCAGTATCGTTTTAACTTTGGGGACATGCAAATGTGTCAATGAGCGTATTTATGTTTTCTCGCCCCTGAAGGCCTTGTGAAAGATGCAGCCCGTCCTGCCTACTGGGTGCCTGATCAGGACATCCTGTCATGCCACAACTGCCAACGTGAGTTCACTGCCAAGCTGTCCAAGCACCACTGCAGAGCCTGTGGCCAAGGAGTGTGTGATGACTGCTCCCCGGAACGCCGGCCGGTCCCCTCTCGCGGCTGGGACCACCCTGTGCGTGTGTGCAACGGTTGCAACCAGAAACCCGGAGAACTTTAATGCGGGGGCTTTACTTAGCAGAGAGAAGCGCTCACTCAGTCGCAGTCTTTGACTGCAGAAGTACGCCCTGTTGTTCTAAAGGTTCTGTCATGTATCTGTGGAAAGGACAGCTTTAAGAATATGTAGAATAAAGAGCATATTTGGGATTTCTGTGTTCCTGTGGCCTTTGCAGAGCAGCCAGAACACTGGGTTATTCGACTGAGTGTGACACCTGCATTTCCTCTATGATTATTCACTCACTCGGTCGTTGGATGCTTCTCGACACAAAATCCCAAATTTTTCCGTTAAACAAAGCTGTTAAGCTATTTTTCTACAATTAAAGAATATTTAAAAACCTGTAATTATTTAAAGACTGACTGTTGAGAATGCTTTTAGGTTTGTGTGATTAGTTTCCAGAGCTCCTTATTATTAAGCATTATTCCTCCGATGTCATAAGTGTAATGACAGGAGATGTTTATATTTGTGCTGGCATAACTGCAGGTTCCATAGCATGCATGTATTACAGCATTTTACTTTTTTGCACTAAGCCTTTTTTCAGCTGTTATAGGCTGTTGCTTACTATGGCCAAAAGCCAGATATCCAGGTGGTGAAGGAGCCTGTTTCAAACTGAGTGGAAGTCTGCAGCAGTAGGTCTAGACAGGAGATATCTGGTGTGCCAAAAACTCATTCAGGTCACTGTGTCTGTGCTGATGTTTCGTTTATATTTTATCACGTAATGCTCGGTTGCGTGAGGACGTTGAAGAGTGCACATCTTAAATGTTGAAACCTATTAATGTATTGATGACAACAAAATCTTATAACTTGGGCATGCATGAGAGTCTGACTGATTCATGGCCTTCCACTTCTACAGAGGCTGGACTCAGAATAAACCTCACTAACTCCTTTATCAGGTGGCATTTAATGTTATACCTGTTACAAAATATATGTATTTCATCTTCAATTTTTTTGTTCTAATTATCTAAGTGTTATGTTCCTGTTCGGGTGTATGACTATAGTCTTTCAAAACTTAAGAATATTTTATTCGGACCTCAAGGTCTTCACAGGAAGAGCCTAACAAGATAAGGACTCCGAAATAAAACAGGATTTTGTGTTACTTTACATCCGTTTTTGGTGGATATTGTATTTTGTTTGATGTTTTTTTTTCATGTAAGTGATTTTGGATGTTTATATTCTTTGTAGTGACAATATGTTAGAATTTTATTGGTCTTTTTATTTCAGCATTACACATGAAAACTAAATTTAAAATGGGGTGAACCACGTTTATTGATGGAGCTTCAGCCTGCATTGCGTCATTACAAGTTTTGTGTCATTAAGTAACAAAACCATAACACAGAAATGGCACACAAAGCACAAGGCCATGCCATTTAGACTTATACTTGTATTTCATATTTAAAAACAAGAAAAAAATTATCTTTGTTGATTGTAGGCTTTGTGGATGAAGTTATTTCTCCATTTGCTATAATGTGGAACTTTTTTGTTCTGATGTCTGATGAAGAGATGTTGTCGAAATAGATTTATTTGTCTGAATGTTCCATCAAGCAAACCCTCTTCTGATATGCTAATATTGCACAGGATTGAATAGGAAAATGTTAGATCACTTGTACTGCAGTTCATTCCCATGCACGTCTGTGCTCTCTGTTTCTTCAGGCGTCTGTTGTGTTGGAAAGATATGTTTTATCCTGTTTCTTGTGGTTCTTTTTTTAAATCAGCTTGGGTGCTACTATGAACACTTTGCATTGTCAAATCAAACAGGAATGACTGTGGTTAAAATGTTGGACTCTAACTTGAAGAAAAAAAAAAAGTGTGAAAAGTTCCGAAGCTGTTGGGCAATTTATATAAGATTAAAGCTGTATCAGCACCCATCTGTCAAAAAAATTATCCAGAGCAGCTTCCACGTGTTTAGTTTCCATGTGTCTGACCGCTTACAGTACATTACTTGTATTTAGGGGAAATAGATTGTGTATAAGTATATGTGTTGAGTCTTGCTTCCACGGCTGCAAGTTTATTCTACATGATAGGAAATTATTTGTGTGGTGCTTATTAATGATGAAAAATGGTTTAGAAATATTTTAATAAATAATCAGAGCTTTCAGAAATACATTCTGTGCCATTTACATTGCACGGTCAATGACTCTACATCAGTATCTCATTTCAGCTATCCAGACTACAGTGAGGGTCTCTTTAAAAGTGCTGTAGATCACTTGTGTACAATATAAATACAAGGGAAAACCCTTTAAAATAATTTTGACAGTTTACCACATTAAACCACGCCCCATCAGGTCATGCTGGAGATGGATTGGTCCACGAATTCTTCCCGAGCTGTGATTGGTCGATTTCCGTAGGTTTCCCTCAGAACTGCTAGACGCTGATATTGCGTTACATTGTGGCAAAATGGCGGCTGTCATTCAGAATCCACTAAAAGCGTAAGTAATTTAGATATTAAGCTAATAATGAAGAATTACTTTGTTGCCAAGTCGTGCGTTGAAACCGGCTGTTCGTGCATGTCATTTTCAGCCGTGTGGATAAGGCAGGCTAGGCTGTCCAAATTAATTTTATGTACTTCTTACATGGCAAAGTAGCCTCGCATAGTTCTTTTATTCCTCTACATCTCAGCACTTAGTCTTTAACATTTGCGCAAGGCTGTCTGACATTTTTATTGCACTAAAGGGGCTTCTCCTCCACACGGTTAGACGTCTAACACAATAGAGTGTCGTCTCTCCCAGGCTGTACATTTATTTGAAAACTGTCGACAACGTGCCTGTGAACTGCTACGACTGATTAAAAGCCAATTTTCTTCGTGCTCGGTTGGGCACAGCAGCGCAATATCATCTGACATTCCTAAAGTCGTTTATAGTTGGTGTGAAATGTCGACATGTCAACTTTGGCTCCTCCAGGCGCAGAGGTGGTCAGGACCCGGTAAAGCAAGGGAGGAGGCATTTTGTATTTGCATGCATGCTGGCGAATTCGACAAAAAGTGACAGCAATTTTGGGCAGTTACCGAAAATGGGCTGCTACTCTGTGCCCGAAAAGCGTGTCCAGCTGACTCGTTTATCCCCAAATTTCAAGCAAATACGCCACCGTTTTCTCCTTTGTTCTTCTGTATTGTCTTGCTGTAAGTTGGGGACACTTAGCCTCGTGCTTTTGGCCATTTATATGCCGAAATAGCACAGTAATTCTTGATAGCCCTGGCTGCACGTTTAGCTCGGCAGGACGTGACAGCAGCAGCCAGCATGGCTGTATTGACGTGTTTTAATGATCATGGCTGTTTGGGACTGTGGAGGTAGAGCTGGAGCTCCACTGTGTCTTTAAGTGGAGGAGTGCTGGAGATTAGCTTGGTCCAGGATCCTGGGCCCATCTGTCAGAGAGATGCTCCGACAGAGAGGAAGTGTTGGGCACAAGCAGGAGAACCATCTGCTCCCACACAGAGGTACCCTGGCACCTCAGTAGGCTGAAGCACAAGGTGCGGATCCATGGACGGATTATGAAACAACAGGCCCCTGGGCACAGATGTGTTACAGGCACCCCACTGGGTCTTCTGAAGACCAAGGCGCCCATATTAAAAGGGCAGCAGACACCAGCATGTGTGGTGGTTGGGTGTGCTGCAGGTGATTTGCATCATCCTTTGCTCTTTCTATTGCTCTTTGTGATGACTGTAGCTTCTGCTGTGCGTTTAGCTATGGTTGGTAGACATGTTTTGCTGCTTCATCTACCTTTGTGGGAGGAGAGGCAAGTCATTTAATTTAATTTATAATCCGGAATAAGAACCAGTTATATCAGGATGTATGCAATAGTGATATTTTTTTTGTGTGAAGTTTATTATTTGTAATCACTTTTTGCATTTTTGCTGCTTTCACACATTTTAAATTAGTTTTTTAATGTTTGTTTGGGCTTTCTCTGAAAGATGAAGCTACTTGGCTCGTGAAAGGTCGGGATCCCACAGATCTTCCCTGTTTTTTAATGTTGGAATCTGTCCAGGGGCACACCTGGACAATAGCCATGCTGCTTACTCACACTGCTGCCAGTGGTGTTACCACATGGGATAGGGATATACATTTTGTTGTGATCTAGTTTTGCGACACACAAATGAAAGATCAGCTCAATTAAAGGTTTAACAGCATATTTGTGATCTAGCAGAACTGTTATGGAGACCTTCTGCAAAATTGCACCCACCTGCACGCTCACTGGAGGCAGCTTCTAAAAACTATTTGCTAAATGAAAAACTCTGTCAGTCTGGGGCATGCGTCACCGTTTATTCTGCCAGGGAATTACCCAGCACAGTCACAGCTTCTGTGTTTGTCTTGAGAGCACAATCATAATTGGAAAGTATGTTTCATTGTTACCTTGCTGTACTTATGTCCCATCGAGCTTCGGCGTGTGTCTGCAGTCGAGCCGCCGCTTCATCTTTAGGATGTTGAAGCATAGTGATGTGGAATGTCCTCTTGCTATAAGCTGTGCCTAATGAAGTGTTTCAATCTGCTATAATTAGCCTCTGTCTCGGGTTTCTGACTTCATTTCACACGTTTGTCAGATTATAATTAGTCACACTTGACACTAATTGGATGTGCTCCTATGGACCAGTTTGACCCTTTTTTTTGTATTAAGAAGATTCACTTCAGGGAAATGAGGCGCTGGTTTGACTTTGTTGTAGACGCGTAGAGGATAAAGCATGCAAGCTTACTGTGCACGTCTGTGTGAGGTCTGTCTCTTGTCTGAGCATTGGACGACAGTAATCTCCCAAATCTGCTGATTAAAATGGGAGTCTGGAATATTTAATTAATAAAGCTGCTCATTAAAATTTGAGCCACAGCTGGAGTATTCTGATGACTGGACACATCCTCCATCTCCAGCTCGGCCGCCTCTCCATCACCACTATGCTTCTCCGTTTGTGTGCTTCCTCCTTATTGGTGTTGAGTAGACTTTGAGTGAGTCAGGCCTGTTGTTTATTTGCACTGCGATGTGGAGGTGTACTGTCTGGTTTGGCTCCTGCCCTCACCCAGCCTGTGTAGTTCTGATTGGTTTAATCAGAGGTTGTTGTCAGGATGCAGTCACTCTCTGCAGGCTCTCCCCCTCCCTTGTAATGTGGTAGCTCTAGCTTCCTGTGAAGCAGCTGTGCACCTGCAAACAAACCTTCTAAAGCATATCTGAAAAACGCAGACTGTTCTGCTTTTTTATTTTTATATTAAGTCATTTATGTTTCTAATTCCCCCTGTAAAGCCATGTCGCTGGAAGGCATTTCAGAGTAGACCCTGGAGTTTTGACACAATTGCAGGTCTTTCCTGTGAACTATTTTTCCTTGTTGCCAGATATGCAAAATGTGTGTTGACACTTGCTCACATTACGGACACAACCATGTGACACAGTGAACCGTTGACAGGAACATTCTGATAGCAGAGGCCCCACCAGCCACAAGATTTACTTTCATTCCTCTTCACCCCCATTCTGCGCACACCTTTTCCACCCCACTATAAGGCAGTTAGTGTGTGGCTCATACCTCCAAACCGCTATCATGCTAGCAGTCCCCCTGTTCCACCACTAGGCAGACAGAGAAACGAATCATCCGGGTTTACTGAAACCAAAGTTTCACTTTTGTGTTCAGTGGACACAACCAGTCAGGCTCACAACCATGTTACAAGATCAATTCAGAGTCTTCAGTATTAATAAAAGAGGAGAAACAGACTGCTGTTTTTCATCCCAACAAGGTTCCTGTATTTTTTTCTCCAATTATCTCAGTCTTTAACTATTAACTTATTTTGTAACTTACTGAAGTTCAATTGAATTATTTGTTGATGAAATCGAAACGGCTTGTAATAATTTACCACTACAAAGGAACTCTGTGCTTCTACAAATAAATCTACCTCCATAGATGGATCATAGTTGTGTAACAAAAGATGGACGGACTCGCTGTCATTAAACGGTGGGGGTTTGGGAATTGTTGGTGAGCTGCTGTTAACAAGCATTGACTGGAATTTGACTGGTTATGTCTGGACTTTGTTTGGAGCCAAAACTGATAATATAGAATTAAGTATGGCCTTTTTTCCCCCTAGAAATATGACAAAATATAAGAACAAAAAAATATATACCAGCACCACTGATGCTAAGTGAAATGGAAGTCTTTTGGCCTATCACCTACCGGTCATTGGCCTTGTTCTCCGTCTCTGATTTGTTGGCTGTGTACCTCTTTCACATTCCGGGTACGAGTTGAATCTAATTACTGTGACTGGTGTTTTCACCCCTGTTATTGAACTGAACTGAGCTGTTACCATCAGCTCCTGCATTGTCCTTCGGTCGATCTGATCTGTCCTTCAAGTGTTTCAAGGTTGATTTGTAGATTCTGTCTAATGGGCATAGCAGAAGGAGCCAGGGTGAAAAAGTCAAGAGTGTTGAAGTGAAGGGGATGTGAGTCTCTTTCACTTCCTTTGGTGTTGGATGTATAGGTTGTAACTCATTACAGGTGTCAACAGAATCTCTCACCTTAGCTGATGCACTTATTGTTTGTGGTGGTAGGCTGCTGATGGAGAACAGACGGCCATCAACCACCGAAGGCATTTCACCCTCTTATTTGTCCTTTTGCTACTCATCCAACTCTCCCAAAGCCCCAGTTCATTTCACATGAGACTCACTTGTGTAATAACTGGAGTTTCTTGGCAGAAGCCGGACTTCAGGGAGCATCTACGGCTGGTCTGCTTTTAGTAAAGTGATCCACCGCACTATGTCTCATTGCAGCTGTGTGTGGGAAGGAATGGCACTGAAACACACAGGTTAGCTTGTCTTTGACTTACTGAGTCGCACACCATGTGGTACAAATTTGATGAAGGGTTCACAGGTTTAACCACAAGGCTATGCACCATATTTATTTTTTATGAGCTGAATATCTATCTTAAATGGCTGGTTAAGCCACTGGTAAATGTGTCAAAGGCCTGAACTTTTGTGTCGAGGCTTTGCTAAAATCTGTTTTGAGTCTCTCTGTGTGATTTCTCTTGTAAAAATTCCTCAATCGTAAAGCGTGCGGAAATGGTGGTATGTGTGAGAAATTGGTGCTGTTTTTGGCTCTGTAAGCAGTCAGAAACACTATGAGGCAAAGTTGGACAGATGAGGTTATGAACTACTATCAACATGCTGAGAATGATTAAAACATCTCATCAGAATTAATCACGACCCACTTGTTAGCTGTTTAGCTCACCCTGCCCTTCCTGTTAAGTCCACTTTTCCCTCATCCCTCTACCTCCCATTTTTCCATCCCTGCACTCGCTCTGTACCTGGGACTGTTTGCTCTTCTCAGTCACACGGACACGCAGCCTCTGTTTCTCAGAAGCCTTTGCACACTGTGGCTTTGTCTCAGCTGTGAAGCTGTGGGCTTTGTGCGGGCATACATTCCGAGCACGACTGTTCATCTGCTGAACACCGTCCAAAATGAGGTGAAAGAGGTAGAAGGGGACAAAGGAAGTGGAAGCAGACCTCCTTCACCAACAGGCTTGAATCGGAGCCTACAGCTCATTAGTTTAACATCAAAATGGCTGTCTTGGTAATGTTGTAATTGAGAACACGTGGAGCAACTTCATTATTCGTACACAGGGAAGTGCACACTAGAAGAACCATGGCCATTATTTGCCTTCTTGGCTCCACTGAAATAACAGTAGGCTGTGTTAAAACCCCGTCCAAATGACCTTTTTATGTTTTCAGACTTTCAGCATTTACCACCATCTTTGATATATAATAAAAAAAATATCAGAACCTGCCCTTGCGCTTGGAACTCTGCTGAGATTAATTAAGTAGGCTAATTACCATACCAGGCGTGTGGCAGAGATTGAGGGCTTGAATGTGAAATATCCACCCCCATCTCACTCTGAATATTAACACAGAAACCCTGAGGGACTGCCAAAATCTTAGTAGTGCTAAGAAAAAAGTGGAACTAAAGTGTGAGAGTGTCGGCTGCTTGTCGGTCAGAGGAGTGACTCCATGTCAGAGCGCAGACACACACGGTCACAATCGCAGACGCAGAGAGAGGCAGTGCAGCTCGCAGCTGACAGGTTTAGATCAAAGAGCACACAGAGGTTAGAATATGTGTAACCTCAGCATTGGGAGCGGTATAAATGACCAATGGCAGTAGTTCGGTTGCATTGTTAGTTTTCTTCCCCCGTATACAAATTCTCTTCCAGTGGCAATCTGGAAGGAGGCGAGAGACCCTCGGCTGTCAGCTTAGTGCTTAAATTGATTACAACGTTGAGCAGATGCTGACAGTTTTACATTAGTTGAGTAGGTTTTACAGATAGGATAATTGTCCCTTTGGAGATGTCAACCCATTTTAAATTAGCAACTGGTAAATGTTCAAAATCTTCTTGTTTCATATAACAGCCTCCAACCTTGTTTAAGCTGTTGTAAGATGCTAAAGCTGCTGCGCTTTGGAGAATCTTTTTTATTTTATTTTTATTTTCTTTGTATTTCAATTACAACAGAAGTTAAATGCAGTTATTTTCTTTGTACAATAATTTGATAACGTAGAGAAATCTGTACAGATTCATTATGAAGGGGAAACTCTCAAGCCCCATGTCGTACCATTATTAGATCCAGCTGCACCAGCTGCAACAACAGGGTTTCGTGAAGGTGGCATCACATGGACAGAAAATTCCACTTCATGTGCTGTGTATATGATGTTTGCTGAACAAACTGCAATCAAAGTGTTTGTGACTCTGATCTATTTTTTTCATGTTTCTATTAACAGACACCACAAATAGTCATGCATGAAACTAAATGCCTGTTGAGACCGTACTTTAATCTACAGTCAGTGTTTGAACAGTTCTAGTGTTGCCTGATGGAATTACCTGTGACATCTGCTTTTTAGTTTGGGTTGAGTTGCATGTAAATTGACCTAAAATTTGTAGATAGACCACAGCGTCATTGTTGCTATGTCAGGCATAAAGAGAAAGGAAAAGCGAGTTGGTGTTTTCTGGGGTTTGACCAGTTACTTTATGCTAATTGTTTTGTCTGTGTGAGGGAGGTAAGGACTCTACCATTGAGAAAAAACATTTATTGCAAACAATTTAGGATACAGGTCAGTCTACAACTTTCATCAAAATTTGATGTGTCACAGTCACGACATTTTAATGATGAAAATGAAGAAGGCTTCTTTCATTTCTGGCATATATTTGCTTGGATTGGAGGTATTAGCACCCTTTTGCTTCAATTTATTTTACCATCCTTTCTAATTTGGCTTAAAACCTAATCTAGCCACAACATGGCTTTGGTGTCCCTCCTAAAATTGATTAAAATCAGAGTTCTGACACAAAGTAAAGTATGTATTTTAGACTATTGAGTGCATGAATCTTTTTCTTCATAAAATCAATATTCGGGCATAACTGAGATTGCCGTGTTTTTCAAAAACATTTTATTAAATGTTAAGGATTCAGTGGGCTGTTTCAACATGTTTCTTTGGATCTGACATAACTCTGTTAAATGCCAAGAGTCTCACAGACAAACTTAGCCAGCAGCCCACACAGCAGCTTCTGCGTTCATTGTGTGGAATAATCGCTGTGTGTGTCCACCGCTTCACGCACAGTTAGTGACCTGTGCTGCACACCTTGGCCTTTGCAGGTTGGGCGACCAGTTCTATAAGGAGGCCATTGAGCAGTGCCGCAGCTACAATGCCCGCCTGTGTGCGGAACGCAGCGTCCGCCTTCCTTTCCTGGACTCGCAGACCGGTGTCGCCCAGAACAACTGCTACATCTGGATGGAACGCCACCACCGCAGCCCCGGTGGGCAAACGCACTCACATGTCCACACACAAACCTGCACAGAGAAAATCCAGTTTGAACTCTTTAATCAATCCTTTCGTTAAAACTAAACTTGGTTGGTCTGTATGTTGATATCTGGATGTTTCTAACGTCATTGTTTCTGCTGCAGAAAAGGTAATAGAGCCAAATTTAAAGCCCAGTTCCCTTCAGTGTGATTTATTTACATTCTAATTTACCCTCCAATTTTAATGAAAGTTGAAATTTCAGAACTCTCCTTTGTTCAGACAAAGGAATTAGAAGCACATACTTTTGTGCAGAAAATAATGTAGATTGTTCTCTTTTTACAGTAAAAAGAATACAAAATTAAATTGGTACCATGTCTGTAACAACCAACTGCAAAATGCACAGCAGCCTCTAAAACTCTTAACAATTCAACCACAGCTCACTCAGTCTGCCTCAAAAGACAAACGCTGTCATCCAGTAACAACTGCCCAGGCGCTTCATGTTCAGTAAACCTGAAACGCACTAACAGCTTTAAGATGTCGTAAATGGATAAAGCTAAAATAAAGATCTACTTTTAAAAGAACCGTCCTGTGTTTTAGTTGTCGTGCATTTTTTACAGTGAACTGTTAAAGCTTTCTTTACTCAATTTTGAAGAAAAAAAAAAAGATCTCATCACCATAGTTTATGAAGCTTACACTGTTTTACTGAGATGGACGTCCTGTTTGTTCTGAAAGGTGTTGCAGCTGGGCAGATGTACACGTACCCCGCCCGCTGCTGGAGGAAGAAGAGACGGCTGCACCACCCTGCAGATCCACGACTGGGCATCTATGGCCTGCAGCTCGGTATGACCCCACGGCTTGTCACCACCTGCCTCTTACTTTCTGCTCCTTTGTCCTCCTGCTGCTGCCTACCTGCCTCTGACCCCCCCGAGTCCTCCAGCACCTTCTGCTCATGAGATTACAAGCCGTGATCTGGAATGATCTTGCTAAAAGCACATTGCTGTCTCAACACACGGGGCCGAGCAGGCTGCCAGTCATCCCAGAAGACGAAACGCGGCTGTGTTCGCGCCGGCTGGTAAACTTGTTTTGTGAGAAGCAGAACATGTAATTAGATTTGTCACTGCTGATAGCAGCGAGACGGAGTCCGGCAACGGCAGATACTGTTTAATAAATGTTATGGAATGGAGTTTAGCCCTCTCTGGTTGCCGCCTGAAACGGCTCACTCAACACATTTACCCTGTTGTCTGTATTCCCGTTTATTTTCTAGTTCGCTCCCCGATTGGATTTTTCTCTTTCTCTCCGGCAGCTCTCTCTGCTGTCTACAAGAGAGTCTGTGTTGTGGCTAGACCTGCTTAGCTGAGTAACTGGTCCATTCTGTGCTCTAAGCTTTAATATCCACTGGGATGTTTTGGTAGCCTAAAGGCTAAGTACAGCAACAGGGAGTTTCTCACACAAGCTAAATGTTTTATCTGTAACTTTGCAGTGGTTTCCATAAGCAGCTAATAGTTCCATTTCTATGTTTCATGTTAGAAGCACAAATCTTTGGCTAGTTGCAAGAATGAGAAAGGAAGCCTGGGAAAGAAGAGACGTAGCTACAGAAAATGAACCAAGCCATTGTTTCCTAAACGCATCCCATTGTAGCCTATTGTTTTCCACTGAGCTCACATTGGCTAAGACTCCCCCACCACCCTGCTGTCCCTTCCCTTCTCCAACAACAGAGATTTGTACGTGCTGTCTGCCAGTGCTCAGCAGAGGGGAAACGCACCCTGATTTAACCTAGCGTGTCTTCCATGGAGCATCTGGCCAGAGGTGGCCAGCACAGGGCAGCAGCAGCAGTAGCCAGAGTCTGCCTCTCTGTCTAACTGATGGTGTGCTAGAGAGACTGGGGCTGCATGCAGAATCAGCTCCCTGCTGCAGGCTGCTGCCGGCTCTATTTTTAGCCCCCCAGCTCCCATGGGTTGAAAGGGAGGGAGGGAAAGGTGGAGGGGGGTTGTCTCGTCGCGGAGAGTTGAAAGTCAACGTGTGCAGACACAATGGCAGGGGGCTGTCGCCACGTGGTTGGAGAGGCATGTTGTGTCTCCGGTCCTCACGCCCACCTTTTGTGTCTTCCACTTACTTTGCAGTCCTCTGTTGTTCAGCTCTTCAGGCTCTCAATATTCTGCAAAAAATCTCTCTAGTGGGAGCAGCTGTAAGATGAAGGGCTCATAGAAAGCTGGAGTCAGGGGGCTTTGAAGTCAGTCCTCTTTTCAAGGATCCACAAAGTACCTGGATGTTCTTGAAGCTCTCAAAGGGAAGAGACTGTGTGTGTAAGATGTGCGTATGCAACCGACTGTCACCTTTTATTTGCTCTTAGCCTGCTTGCCTCCTACACTGTTTGTTCAGGTCTTCACTGTTGGAGGAAATAGCTGCATGTGTTGAGGTTGAAGTGTTAAGCCAGGACATTGCACCTCAACAGATTCCTGTGGACAAAGTCTGCTGAAAGTGTGAATTTGTGTGCATAGTTCTGCATTATCCAGCGTGTTGTCAGTGTTGTGTTATCCAGAATGAATAATTCTGTAGTTTTTAATTAAGAATTGCGAAGACTCTTAATGATTGCTGGCTCTATAACAAAGGGATGCTTCGGGGGAAGTGCCTCTTGTTTTCATTTGATTAAATCCAATGGGATTTGAATATGATGATGAAAAGCTGCTCCTGACTTTTAAAGTGAACAATAGATGTTTGTTGACATGTCACGTCAATACAAAGCCAGATCTTGTGCTGTAATTATCATTTTTGCCTTTCTACAGATGGTGGCCTCATGTCGAAGGATGCTCTGCCCACCCAGAGCACTACGCTGGAGGCTCTGCTCCGAGGAGAAGGTTTAGACAAGAGGAACAGCTCCAAGAACGATGAGGAGAGCCTGCTGGAGATTCAGGTGCGTTCAGTCAAACATGGAGTGTTGGTGCAGTCAGAGCATCAGATAAATGCTTTAATGCAAATGCCTGTGTCATACACACACACACACACACACACACACACACACACACACACACATTTCAATGGCACTCAGTTCTGTGCCCTAACTTGTTGCTGTGGCAACCTGCCAAGTTGTCCTGCTAACCTGCAGGACTTGTTGGCTGAGTGCAGAGACATTCTGGACAAGCCGGCCAAGAGTGTTTATGATAATGATTAGTGATGCTTTAGAAGCGGGGACACTTTACCATCATACACATTGTTATGATCATTTCATTTCATCATCACACATTCTACCAAACCAGCACATCTGCATACAAGAATCGGATTTTGTTGCTTCTTTTTTTTGTGACGAAGCTGAAGGTGTGTTTCCCCTCTCTGCCTATTTCAGCGGGTTCTGGAGGCAGATGCAGCAGAAGACGCCTTTAATGATGATGATGACTATGAGGTGGACACCCCAAAGAGGAGACACCGGGGCAAGGGGAGAGTAAGTGACTGAAGGAACATCCATAGCTGCAGCTGCTGCCTTACATACTAGTTTTTTCCCTCAGTGATATGTGGGGAAGCTTGGTTTTATATGTTTAAGAGGGGATAGCACTGCAAGTAGCTGAATGTTTTTGTTTTCTTCAGGGCCGGGGATCAGGCCGCAGGAAGACAGATCTGGATGACGATAAGCCATATGTCTGTGACAGTAAGTAGAGTCAAACATGTATGTTTACTTAGGATTGCAGTTTCTGAGATCCATACTACACCAAGTATGCTGATATATTTCTTTAGGATTGTATATTTTACTGCAATTCAGTCTTGACACAGATACAAGTAAAATAAAGTGTCTTTCGTGGAACATCAGGACTGCATTGCCGATGAATAAGTGAATTTATAAGAAACAGATGATTAGAAAATTTTCATTGTTTTTGAAAGGAAGATGTTTTTTACAAAAAAATATTCTGTTAAACTGTTTACACACAGAGACCATATGTTCATAGCCAAAACATTCATCACAAATGTGTTAAAAGGGAATAAATATAGTTTAGTGATGGTTATAGAAATTATTTGGTGGATGTATCATTCATTTTCTCTGAGTCAGACTCAAAGTTATTTATTTATTTTTTGTTTTTGTGGGGATGCATTAGATGCACTTTGTTCCTTTTTTGACTCACCCACTGACACCCATTCTTTTTTTTAAATGTATTTTCATTGAGACTATCTAGGAGAGAGGCAGGGTTATTTAAGAGAATATTTAAATTGTTATAACTCTGCTTGAACTGCACAGTCTTATGTTTTCTCTTTATCATTTTCCTTTTGTTTCAGACAGATACAAACAAAAGCAGAACTCAAAATCTTCAGCTTCAGGTACTTCAGAGGGTTTAATATTTGTTCATTTAATTAGCCCCAGGTTGTCCCTCATGCTTTAAATATAAAAATGTCCTTGTTGAGAAATTTGAGCAGTGGTTATCATGTTCTCTGTGATGATGTTTTATTTGAACCCATTTGAATCTGCTCTATTTTTAGTTTCCCACTGAAATTGAAAGATAAGTTTCCACCCGGGACATTTCTTCACACTTTTTAATTTTATCTTCTGTCATGCTCCTGCAGTGTGGTCTGCCCAGGCTAATTGTAAATCTTAGATCATGTTAACATAATGAAGCATCTGTAGTGGGACTGAACATCTTCCCTCTGTTTGCCGCAGCGTGTGCAAAGCGCTATCGGAACCGCACAGGACTAAGCTACCACTACACCCATTCCCACATTGCGGAGGAGGACAGAGCCGGGGACAGAAGCACGGTGGCGTCCCGCCCCCCCACTGCTCCACAGGCGGACAGACACAAACGTAAGCCGGCTGACATCTACAGCCTTCCTACGGCATTCAGTTGTCCTGTTCCTCACCACATCTCTCCCATTGGAGTGCTGCACTTTTACACGGCCCAGGCTGTGTTTGTATTCCAAACTGTTTTGTTGTATTTGAACTCTTACCGTTCTGTGGGGGAAGTTTATAAAGCTTCCCATGGCTGTGATACAGTTGTGTTCTATTTAAATAACCATGCAAGCTGCCTTCTTCAGGAAGTCACCCAAAAGCAAAGGTTCTAAATGCTATTCTCATACTTAGTAATCTCGTACCTAGCAATAATGACATTTATTAAGCCTCATCGCCCATCTCTAAAATGTTGACCTCTTTTTCCTTCTCCTGGGATTTTCTTAAAAGGTCCAAAAGGTCCAAGTGGGGCGAGCATTCCCAACAACTACTGTCATAAGTGCCAGGGCAAAAAAACGAGTAAATCTGGCTCTCCCTGCTCGGCCTGCCAACGCACAAGTGAGCTCATGTTTAGTGTGCATACATGTTTTCCTCTGTCCCGTCTTTACAGTACATAGAATGTAGGCGGCACTTTGCAGCACGTCATGACTGAGCTCTGCGCTTTTTTTACGTTTGTTCCAGCTGACTGTGGAGAGGAGAAGGAGGACGGAATGTTTACCGGAGCCGAGGAGCTCTTCGGCACCACCTCAGAGAGCGACACTTCCACCTTTCACGGCTTTGAGGATGACGAGCTGGAGGAGCCAGCAACAAACAGCAACGGGATATCTAACCGCCACAGATAGAGTGAACCCGTTAGAGTTCAACTGACTTTTTTTTTTAAATATATGGATTAACCTCCTGGAAAGAATCTGCTGCTTCTTTTTCAATGTGTTTTGTTTGCAGAAAGCACAAAGTTATAATTTCAGGACAGAAATGCAAGTGGTATTTTATCTACTGAACATTGTTGAATAATTTATGAACACCTTTTTATATAAGTAAACAGTATATATGAACTTTAAAGGCAACAAACGACTGTCTGTATTTCCTGACAAAACAGAAGACATTTTTGGATTTTTTTTATTTAATCTTTTCCTCCCTCAGTGAAGCAGACAGAACAAGGTTAGGAACAAAAAATACTGGCGGAATTGGAACAATTTAAAAAAAGAAACCCTGTTTTTTTTTTCCCTCGACCCCCTTTTTTCTAAAGCATGAATGATGAGTTTGATGATTGCAGACCATACTTACATTTGAAGGACTACCGGATATTTTTCAATCAGCTCAGTGTGAACTTGAAGATCTTGTCCTCTGCTCTCACTCTGGATTAAATGTGTGAAAATGAAGGAACCCACGAAAGCCACAGGCCACTGAAAATGTTTGGATGAAGGAAGCCTTTATGGTCTTTACAAAAAGACGACATATTGAGTAAAAGGTAAGCAACAGAATATTGTGTTAAGATGTGTTAAGACCTTCGTTTCCTACTGGAGTTCATCGGATGGTGAAAGTTATTTAGCCTTCCATTAAAAAAAGATTTTTAAAAAGGGACATCTTTTTTACTCTGATGTGCAGATCCCTTCCATAAGGATGCAGGAAGACATCTTTACTACGATGTATAATTTAGTCCCTTAACTAGTCCTCAGTCTGTCCTGAATGAGCTGTATTAACTGTGTACACCAACTATGGTTTTCAGATCACTTCTAAAGTGCTTGAATTCTAAAAGGCAGAAGTGTAATTTCCGTTGGTTAGGGTTAAACTTTCCTGTATAGTGGTTAACAAGCCAGTTTCGCAGAAAATCAACCATTTTTACCTCAAGTCTTTTTACGTGACTCATCCCTAAAATAGTAACCCTGTGTTGGTGTCAGTGGCCTATTGTATTTGGATTTGTTTTAGAAATGCAATCCTAGTTTTATCTTCCGTCTCATTCATTTGTCATTTTTCTGTGTTGTATAGGAGCAATCAGCACATCGGCATGCGGCCCAGGCCTGGGGAGGGTAACCAGTGAAGAAGAGGATTTAAACCTGAAGAACTGTTGAGCCCTCATGTCCCTCCTGATCTGGGCTCAGAATAACCATCTGAAATGGGTGGAGAGGTACCTTCCACAGGCCACGTGGCTTCATTGAAGGCAAGAGCTCCCTTGACTAAATGTATCGACCCCTTGTGAACATCTGAAATGTGAGCATCCGGCTTCATTTCATCCTTTCTGCACTGTGCTACTGTGCTGGGGCTCCTCTCTGAACTACGGGAACACTAAAGGCCAGGCCTTTGGACTGTTTGTGCCCAACGGGCACATTTTGGGGGCCCTGTGGCTCCGCCCGCCCACTCCGATGCGTGATCCGATGTGACACTACGACGTCATCATCCTCATCACTGTGCCAGCCTGCTTCTCTACACTGGAAACCAGCTCTGACACCCGTGACCCCTACACACTGATTGGACCAGTGACCCCCTGACCCACAGCCATAGACATGGTGCTCGAATCCACCACTGTAACTCGCAGACCTCTGGACTATTTAACCCCCTGACATGGACAAAAAGTCTCCTGCTTCTGCAGTCTGTCTCCTCTCCATCTCCTCCGTTCTGATCTCAAATGGATTACAGTGATTCCAATGGCCTTTTAAAAAAAATATTTTCTCTGTTGCAGAATATTTTTGCGTTTTGAGCTTTTCAAGATCTGATTAGTTGGACTTCTTGAGTTCGTTCAGACTATCAATACCTCTGTCCTGATCAGGTCCACAATAGCCACAGCTACTCAGGCATCTATCATTTCCTCTGCTGGTGATTGTTCAGCTACTAAGCCCTGATTTTATGTGATTGTATACAGCCGATTAGGAGGGGCAATGACACACACACACACCCATGTAATAATCAACCCCCAGGAAGGATTTGGGGATACTGTAGAGAACTCTGCAATAACAAAGTTTAGCTTTGTCTGTCAACTTCTTTTTTCCCTCTTTTCTCTTCTTTTTCTGTTCGCTCAGTATTACGCCAGCCTCTCACCTCCGTTAAAATCGGGCTGCGGTTCACGACCCGCTCAGACTTCTCATCTCTTATGCCTTTGAAAGTAATATTATTGCTCGACAGTCACACTTCAATTCAGTCCACATATTTAAAGAGGCGAAAACTGTAAATCCCAGTTGTTTGTGACATTTCTCCTGAGTGCTTTCGAGGGCCTTAATTGCTTTGTGACATTTAGAGGGCGCTTGGAGTTGTGTAAAAAAAAAAAAAAGAAGAAGCAGTTTAGGTCCACAGGTTGCACATACTGTGTAAGAGGTGTGAGTCCATCTGCGTGATGCCCAGCACAGTTGCTCCGTGAGTGAAGCTAACCATTAATCCCGCTTGTCTGTTAGGGACTCGTTTGTGTATTCAAATCATCTCTCCACACTTCCCTCAGGGACCCTCCACACAGCAGTTGATCTCCACTGGACAAAGAAGGCATCTGAAACGTGTCCTTTATCCTCTCGTCTTCCGTTGTATCAGTTATGTGGTGTTTCCATAGTGAACAGCGATGCGCCGTGTGTCTTATCCTCCGAAGTCATGCCAGTCAGTGAAAGCATGTGTCATAACCTGCTAAATGTCTCTCTGTCAAAACACGAACGAGCCTCGTGCTGTGCAGCTTCCAACCAGAAGAGAAGCGATGGTGTCTGCTCAAAAATAACGCGGCGCTTGTCGTTGATGAGCCGTATACCTCATCAAAGCCACAGCAATAGGCCCCGGTGCCCTCTGGTCAAACCTGTTTTTTTGGGTGGGCGCAGAGGGAGGATCGTGGTGATAATGGAGCCAAGAGGAGATGAAATGGACGCCATCGGGTGTTTGTTTTTCCTTTTTCTTTTTCTGCTGTAAATATGAGTCGAATTGGAGAGAATTAAGAAGTCTTTGTTTGTTAAACTATTTTTATTGTTCTGAAAAAATAAAGAAGGAAAAATTCTTTTTTTTTCTCCCCTCTTTTCTTTCCTTTTATCCCTGAGTGGGTGAGTGGGTCATTTTTAGAGGACGGCTGATAAGCAGCAGTCTAGCAGACTGGATCGATAGGTTGGAGTGACCCTTAGTCATTCTAACCAGACAGAGAGGAAGAACACTGCTTGAGTACGTGAGTGGAAGTAAAAGAAAAAGTTGGCTCATGGATCTTCTTGATGGGAGGGGGGAGGGGGAGGGGGGGGGGGGGCTGCTGTAAAAGGAGAAAAACATCAGAAGCTGGCTGCTGGCAATGAATGGGACTTGAATGGAGACCGCAAAGAGGAAGAAGAGGTTTAGGAGTCTCAATAAGCCAGAACAGAAGTTTTTTATGGTGCTATAGATGCAATATTCATATAAATGTCATAAATGTCTTTGTGAGACTTTATGGGAGACAGCAAATCACCAGATCTGTTTAGTGAACTATTTATGCAAAGATAAGATAAAAAATCAAGCCAACACACTATTCTTTGTTTACTCAGTTACTATACCTCATTAAAATAATCATATCAGTCCCAAATGTGCTCTTAATCAGAATGGCTCACTGATGGATTTCATTATGCAATTCCAATATTATACTGTTGTGGATACTATTTTACAAAGGTAGAGATACTTTAAAGACATAAGAAATAATAAAACCCTAATAACAGATAACACCTCATTTTTTTTCTAAATACCAATTCTCATCTTAACATATTTAAAATATTCTTTCAATTTCTGTCTCAGAATGTATGTGCAAATTAGCACATACATCTTTTTTAAACCATTTATCAGGATTTAAAAAACATTTCAGAACAGTTGAGTTGTGGCTTGTAGGTGTCAGCCAAAAACGAGACAAATTTTTATTCCATTTATTTCATGACTCGGAACACCAGCAAATGGCAGCACAGAGCAGACAGGTCCAGAGAGTTTATTATTTGGTACCCATGAACAGATAACAGGTGCTTGAGTGTTTTAGAGTGCCAGTAGTTATCCTGCTGATCGAGACACTAAAAGCACAAAATGCCCTGAATATGTTACATGCATAGTAATGTGCCCATATCATAATAAAGTGTGCTTTTGAATAATGAACAGTAACCAGATTACATTTACAATGCACTCGATACATGGTGTCATTGTGTTTGTGCTGAGGATAACATTTGGTACATCGACTGGAGTTATGCATCTCTCTACTTAATATTCAAGAGGTTACTGGTTTAATATACTAATAGTAATTAGTAATATGACCTGTACAGTGCATTGCAACGACTAATAGAAAACAACAGATGAGAGACTCAACCGGCAGTCTGCTCAGCTTTGTTACGGTTGCAGTCACGGGCCTCACGGGGGGGCTGTGGCACAAAAATCTCCTCTGCCTGAGCACTTCCTGTGTGTAGAAGAAGGCTGCACTCATCACGAGCCACGCATTGTTCACAGTTCAGCCCATTTCAGAGCTCTGACGTCCATTCACAGATGAGTGTGTCTCCGGTTCAGGGCCTTTTCTCCAAGCGTGCGCAGTCCCACCGTCTTCCCCACCCTGTTCCCCACCTTCTCCCCCACCTTCACGCAGCCCACCGTGCTCCATCATCCACAGTAAAAACACACAACAATTATTAGGTGGGAAAAACAAAAATGGGCATCGGTTTAAGAAAGTAAAAGATGAGTTCTTCATGCAGTAAACAAAGCAACAAAAAAAAGTAAATAGTCCCCCAGTGGGCGGCAGGCCTCGGAATATCTCCACCATCGGAGTTCAGTAACGTCACAGCGTCATCCAGTGTGATGTCAGCACACAGAACAGTCCTGTAACGCTCTGCTGTGGTCCTGCGGTGCACACACCGGCAGACGGACCCATGGCACGGAGAAAAACTTTAAATACCACACAAGCCGAACACGCGCGTGAATTCTACTTCACGCGGGACTGTGCTTTCTGTAGCTGTGCCTAAACTAAGAGCTGAGTTCACAATGCTTCCCTCTACCACACGCGGGGGGGGGGAAGGGGCATGCTTTTAGGCCTCTAATTTAGTCACATTAACATTTGGAAAATGATTGATTTCATTATGGAGCCAGAAAACTTTGGAACTTTGAAGCCTGATGGGTGTGAGAGAAGCGAACCAACCGGAATGAGTTGATCATAGTCACAAGTCTCATTACACTGAACTGATGGAGGGACATTAATTCTCAACTGGGACATTTGGATGAAACATGCAAAGTGGGGTGTGATTGCTACATTAAGCCCTTATGCCAGATTCTGGAATGTAATGAAGCATGAAAAATTATACCTACTGTTTTACAGATGCAATTATACAGAATATAATATATCTGGGGCTTTATATTCTTGTCTGTCACACTGTGCTGACTATTTCACTGACATGTCATGTTCATAAAAAACAGATATAATTGAAGTTTCTAGAATATAAAAAATGGTTGTATTCATTTCTAAGAAGAAAAAAAGCTATCTCTGTCTCTATTTATTGCTGCCTGCTGTGAGAACAGAGGCGTCTGCAAAGTAGACTTGTGTGATTTGCAATGGTTTTATGTATTTCCATCCAAGTTCGGACTAGCAGGTTTTTTTTTTTGGATTGTCGGTATTCATACTTTCAAATGTTGTGGCTAATACCAGAGATCCAGCCAACACGTAAAGAAAAACCATCTGAAAATAAAAACGGATCCGTTTAGTTAGGTCTAACAACCAGGTTTGCCACCTAAGTGATGAAGAGGGGGGCAACCCTAGTCTGGATGTGCTTATACGTTATGCTGCATGCCATGTGATGGGTTGGCGGCGGCTCCCCCCCCCGTCGACATTTTTTTTTCCCCAGCGTTTTCCTTTTTGGGGGGGGGGGGGGGGGCGGTTTACCCCAGCAGGTGCTGTGCGAGCAGCACGGCAGCAGAGTCCCAGAACCTCCACGGCAGCCCGAGCCAGCCCAGCTCCACTGTCCCTGTCCCTGTCCCTGTCCCTGCCCCGGCCCGCGCCCGGCAGTCCTCCCTCCGACGGGGTGTGGCCGCGCCCCTCCGGAACCAGTTGTGTCAGGACGACTGCATCAGGCCTGTCAGACGCTTTCCCGTCAAAGACTTCCCCTGGAAACGCAATTAAAGTGGAAACGCATTACAGGACTGAGATGATGAAAGCAGCACTGCTGTACAAATCAAAGAGAGGGTAATCAGTGGAACTAACAGCATTCTTTTTAAGACAAGAGAGCCATCCATCCATGGAGGGATCGGGTTACAACCATTTATACAGATGGTAGGTGGGTTTTTACAGTTTTCACCTAAATTATCCTAGGACTTTAAAATGCCAGCTTGGGACATTAGAACTAAAACAATTCGACATGTAGTTCATCAGCAAGGCTCTGGTGATTTTGCTTGCTGTCTGAGAGTCTGACTCCTTTTTATGTGTCAGTATCTTAAAACTTATCAGTGAGATGTGTGGTCCAAGCCTTGAGGATTTGTAAGTATGTAATCCCGAAAGTTAAGCTAAAGAAATTAATGTTTTGTACGCCGTTCAAAATCAGGATTAAAATTCTAAATCAAACCCACGCTCTCCATAAGTGGCTGTAAATCCATAAATTATTTACACATATTTTAAAAGATTCTCCATGGAAATAAAATATAAATAAATCATGAAACATTAAAAAAAAATTAGAGGTAGGAATTCCTGATTGAGTTGATCGAGAATGACCCAGAGAATCTACCGACAAAGTGATTTCATACAAAATGTTTAGCTGCAACAATCCACATGACTAGCATGTCGCCTTTCTCACACAAAACACGTCCCAATGCACGCTCAACAAGCCACAATAGAGTGTAGTACGGTAGTAAAAAGCCACTGATAGTGAGCCAGCCGGTGTGGTTTGTGATATGAACAGCCCCAGCTCCAAATGACTTACCACACTGCGGGTGAACTTCTCCAGGGAGGTGCGGCGGCCCTGTTCAGTGTCTGCTGGCTGCTGTTTTGGGAGGGGGGGAAGCAGGGTGAGTGTTTGGGTCAGGTATGGGTGTTGAGGGGGAGAGGGACGGGGGGTGGGTGGAAGTGATGTCGTCAGTTGGGTGGGAGGTGGGAGGGGTGGGAGTTGGGGTCGGGGGGGGGGGGGATGGGGCAGGCCAAGCATTGCAGAAACGGGGGGCCAAAGACAGTGCGGGGGTTGCAATTTGTGGGACATGGAGTGGGGGTCAGTGACAAGCCGGCAGAGGGAGCAGTTTCCAAATGAGAGAGGGCAGAAAGGCTAGCATGAACAAAGAAAGCTGTGATCTGCTAAAAAGCTCCATATTACAGTTTAATGGCAAAGTGAGTGCTTAGCTGTGCAAAGCTCATAGATTATACTCTACACCAGGTACAGAAAATAGCATAAAACAAGTTCAGTCAGTGGGTGCTTACGTCAGAACAGGTTGAACATGTGAGCTGAGGACTGGCCTTTGATGCCTGCGCACGCTTTCAGTTTTTCTGCCGCGTTCCCCTATTACACAGCAGTTTGTCTCCGTTTGGCATATGACGTCATGCTTCTTTCTTTCTTTTTTTTTTTTTGACTGTTCCCCTAACTGTCTAAATAATTCAGAAGCTTCCTGGCACCTACACTTTGGGCACGGTGGTTTTGCCATTTCGGGGCTCTGCTGGTCGCATGAGGTTTTCAGAGTTCACATCCAGTTCTGTCTCAAAGCCATCAGGTCTGACTCAGACATTAATGTCACCCGTCTTTGAAATGTTTCGCTATGATGACCCCTACATCTTTAACCTTTACTTGATAAGATCACTTTGTTTCATAATTATAAGCATCCCTGACAAGTGGTGGAATATCATAAAGTGCTTAAAAAGAAAAACCTTACCTCATTTATCAAAAGCAGTACAACACTAAATATTATGAGCAATGGTTCACTTCACAGTAAATTGACCTATTACTGACCTAACTACAAGTGTTTTTTATTATTTTTTTAGGTAACTGGACTAAAGTAAAACATGGTCAATATCAAAGTTTGGCCCTATCTTACTACATCTAGACCTGATAAAAGACACCAGGGGGGAATTATACAATATCTTCATGCATACATTTTCTCAACAAATCTATAATCAGCAGATATCTCACGGAGGAATGAGCACAGATAAGAATTGATTGGATTGATCAAGGCATCAAATTAGATCCTGAGGGCAGAGCTTCATGTTATTAGATGCTTCCTTTTTATGTTTCCATTTCACTCTGATATTGTAATGTGAATTTTGTATAAAACTGAATCTGCAGAGCATCTAATAACTGTAATACCTTTTGCACTGCCATATGTTTATATATTGAAGTTGCAAAAAATGAAGGCCTGGCTGCTTAAACGAAGCATTCCACCACTTTCTCATTACTTTTCAGCACTACATATTGATACAGAATCACATTTTTTCCCTGTTTATATAAGTAGAGCCATACCTGGAATGATCCATAAAATCAAAAAGGCAAGATCGTACTGAGATGATGAATGCAGTAAGACGCAGCATGTCATGTTAAATGCAGAGCAGAAATCGGAGTCAGTGAGTGTAGCTCACCTTCTTCCTGGCCAACAAGAGGTCTTGATAGATGTTGGATCGCAAAAAGCGTGCATAGCTGTCACTTTTCATCAGCTTGAATATGTGCTCCTGCGGGAGACAGAGAGAGGGATGAGTGTCTGTGGCGTGGAAGGACGGCTTTTGGGTGGAAAGAGGCATGATTACGTTAATGCGGCGCGTGCGTGCGGGAATCAAAGCGGCTGAGGCAGAGCCGAGCGACGTCCGGCCAGTGAGAGGCGCTGTGCACCACACACATGGCCAACTCACTCTGAAACCAGAGGAATCCACGGCGAACCGACTGAACAACCCCTTCATGGCATAACTCGCCTCATTAGGCCCTGGCACAAACACACTCCGTCATTCTTCCTCGCTCGTCTCTTTTTTTTTCTCTCATCCCTCTCATTCATTCACTTGTGTAGAAAGAGTGGGGATGAGGGGGTTCAGCGAGTGGCAGTCGGTGGCCGTATTGTGTGCGCTAGCTGGCAGAACCCCTTCAGAAGCCCACTTTTTAAGTGTGGAGGGGTGATTCGGTCTGTTTTTGCTAATGGTTGTTTAGTTTAAACCTCTGGTTTTTCTGGTGGTGCACAAAAAAACCAACAACACACAACGTCCACCTGAGCGTCCTCATAGCTGTATCGTCCGGGGTCTTTGAGGTTCTGGCTGGTCCGCTCGTAGCTGTGAGAGTCCAGGTTGATGGAGCTGGGCGCTCCCTCGGCCAGAAACTCCTGCCAGATCTCATGAGCCCTGGTGGACACCTCCTGGAGAGGCCTTCGCTTCAGATCTTGCACCGCCAACCAGAACCTACAACACGATCATATTTAATTAACAGCCCCTTTCTAAAATCTGAATTCCACACTCGTAGAGGAAAAAAAGTTGTTTGAACACTATCATTTGACGCAATAGAGATGGAGGTTAAAAAAAGCTGCATCCATTCTCCATCTCTCTACATCCAGATGTGGAAATGGTGGCAGGTTGTGTTTGGATAAAAGATGCAGCCTAGACTACAGAAATCCGCGGGGTCAACAGGGGGAAGATAATCAATAAACAGATACATAGTGCAAACCTACATGTTTTGACTCAACTCCTGGGCTGTGCTGAGAGATGATTCATTTTAGCTCCAACAGCACAGCAGACAAATGCTGCATGAAAGCTAAATAATTCAATTAGCGGACTCGCTGTGCTTTTCTTCAGGTGGTGGACGTGCTATGATATATGACTGGGTTTGGAAATGCTTGGTGGCAGACATATTGATTGTTGTCTCTTAGGTAAAACAGGATAATACATGATGACAAAAATGTGGAGCATCAAATCGGCAAAGAAAGAGACATCCCAAATTCTTATTTACACGATTTACCTTCCAGCTTGGTGATGTTGTGATTATTCATTGATCGGGAAATGCACTGGGGTCCAGAAGTTATTAATAAAAGATCAGATTGTTGCTGAGATACAAGGGAACCTTCGTAAGCCCTTGTCACTCATAAAGAAATCTGTGGAACATCAGAGGAGTGAACAGCCATCTCACCGCAGGTTCTCTGAGCTGAACTCGGACTCCAGGAACTTCAGGAACTGGTCTCGTCCGGCTGGATCCTTCAGCGCCTCCTCCAGGGAGAAGCCCCACTTCTTCACCCGCTGCTGGCCGGGGTCTCGACTGTTCAAAAGTCCAACAAAAACACAGACGGTGAAACACGGAAGAACCCCCCCTCACAGGCGCTTGTTCTCCCCCCCGCGGAGACCCGGGACCATTTTGTCAGCGCACAGTCAACCTTTAGGAACGCCACAGTGGGCGGTCACTTGAGACGAGATGCGGGCGGACAGTTCAGCACAGCGGCGGTCACCTCTGCTCTGCAGCTGACCCCGGCCCCCCTCCGCCCACGGTGACCTCTCAGGCCCCCGTCCCACCACGGCCTCTCGAGCCTCACCTGGCCTCCAAGTCCCAGAAGGTGGAGTCATCGCTGATCCAGGGGTTGGAGGGCTCTACGGCCGCCACGAAGGGGTCATATTCCACGAACTGCTCCGTGTAACCCATCAGGCTGTCAGCCACTTTGGAAACCTTCATACAGTGTCTGTCCAGCTGGATGTTTAAGAAGGTAATCTGAGGGCGGGAGGGAGACAAATGTGGTGGCTAAATGGGGCGACAGCTCATCGCTCTGCGTCTCCGATAGTCGTTTTGATGGACGAGCGAAGCAGGCAGGTGGTAATGACCGAGAGGAAATGTGCTCGCACTGTGATTTACCTCCTTCTGAACATCCTCTTTGGTGGGCTTTCTGGGGGGCTGTGAGCTGATGTGGACCGGACTCGGCTGGCTCTGGCCATCATCCGGTACTCCGTAGACTGACTGAGAGGGATGAAGAGAGAGAGTGGGATTTGTTTTGATCCCATAATTGTTTTGCCCTAGTTTGCTGTGGTGAGTGATTGTTATGAGACCGGGCCTCTGGATTGTGTCGGGGAATTGGGGGTTCAAAAACTTTCTATTTTACAATTGCACAGCTTCAAAAGGTGACTAAGGGAATTCTTAGAAATTTGCTTTATCTGGCATTTCCCCACATTTAATTAGTTTTAAACACAGTAAAGGGTTTTAATCTTTATTCGATTCGGAATAATTATCTACACAAACTTTAGATAAGCAGTTAAATCTATAACAACTTCAGAGGATTTGATTAGTTGAGCTACCAGTTGTGTGATTACGAGCTAATTAAGAGGAACACTGAGCTGATATCGCACCAACCTGACGTGCGTGGCAGTGTTGTGTTGTGTTGTGTTGTGTGCCCATCTCTCACCTTTTTCACCCTGTGTGGATTCTTCTCCCTTCGGCACTTGCGGATGTCCATTTCTGTGGTGTTGACGCATCCAGGCTGTGGGAGGCAGCAGGAGACACAACGTGTTTCTGGGTCAGATAACGCTGTGTTTCTCCGGTGTGTGTGTTGTCCCGACGCTGCTCCTTTATTCAGCGCTGCCATGCTCGCAAAGTGTGCAAAGAGACTCCGCCACCGGCAACAAAACTGCCCGTTTTTTTGTGTTTAACGCCACCGCTGGGTGAAACTCACCACAGGTCGATGAACGTCCCAGAACGCTCTTTCCTGGCTGTCCAGGATCTTCCTCTCTGCCTTGTCCTTCTTCCTGTCAATCCTGGGAGCAGATAGAAACAGAGCACAGCTCGTACGGACATAAGCAAAACTCCAGGCCTCAGAATTAAGGAGCATATTTTCCCTGCCTCGTAAATCGTAGACAGGTCAGACAGTGAAATGGTACGGGTCTTGACCTGTGTGTTCTCTTCACTAACCGACAACTGGTGTTGCCTCTGGTGAAGCCAATCGCTTACATAACTAACATTTACTGTCCTTTTAGGCCCCTTCTCTCCTGATATAAGGATTGATGCTTCCCACACTGACCTTATTAGAGCAAAAAGACAGCAGGAAATGAACAATGGCATGATTTAGAATTTTTTTCCTACTAGGGAGGAATCACTATTCTAACTGACTTAACAAGGTCTCTTGCTGTGCTTACACACACCAGCCACCAGACTGCAGTCTCACAAAGCAATTAGAAATGGGTGAGAAGTAAGCATGTAATAGATTCCTCTGGGAAATGCTCTCTGTACTTAACCTGAGTAACCTCTGAGCCGAAGTAGAGCACAAACTCAGCGTTATTAATGAGAAAAGAGTTAGCCCGACCTATGAGGAACGCTGCACTTTTGAGGAATATCAACGTCATCAGGCACAGAGAACAGAAGTGTTTTCATGAGCTCTTCAACCCGCCATATAAGCACAACCAGAAGCAGAGAGGGATTCACGTATGCACTCACTTGACTTGGGCTTCAGCTTGCATGAAGATAAACTCCCACTTCCTGGCAAAAGCCCTCTGCAGCCGGGCGAGGTTCTCCTGGGGGAACCAATCAGGTGTGACATTAAGGGGCTATAGGGAGTTTTGCGAGTTTTGTCTGCAACAACATCAGATTGACATCCATTCTCTTTCATGCTGTGCCTAAGACTGCTTTATTTAACCCAAACTCACTAAATCAAGCTTAGATCTTGATCTGATTGTCGATGTCCCGACTATTAAATGTTAACTCTATATACATATATATGTTTTTAGTGTTTACAGTAGTTCTGCTGTTGGTTTGATGAAAGATCTACCCAGAGGACAGACTGTATTTCAGTCTGTATCCTCAGTTATGTGTCCTAATTGTCTTAAAAAAAAACAACCTACAGCATGTAAAGTAAACCTACCATTAGTACATATTAACAAAGAAAAACAAAAACAAGCATTTAAAGCTGTGTGTGCTTAACAACATCCCAGCATGCTTTAAAAGTATTCGACCTCATTTCAAAGAGAAAAACTTCAACCGGTAGGCATGTTAACAAAGAGCAATGGTCCCTGGAGGTACAATCTGACCTGAATTGTAGGGAATAAAAGTCTACTGGACAATAGCTGCAGAGTCATTTAGAATATTAAAACACATGTATCGCTGCTGTGTGTAACTACAAAGCATTGACTCTGCAGTAATGTGCCTCCTGAGACCGTATTGATCCGCTGATACCTTGCAAGCACGAGGATATTTCTGTTTACATTTCAGGGCCCGGGAACAACAGCAGTTGAATGAAATGACATCATTTGATAATGTGTTCCTACCTAATCAAAGCCACACAGGGAATGACGTGAGGATGTTTGTTGGGCTTTTTGTTTTATTTTTTGACTTTGCACTATCTGGAAATCATTTTATCTTCATGGACAAGAATGCAAGAACAGGACTGATCTTCTTGATTACTGCTAAACTAAAAATGATTCTTTACTTACGGCTTCATAGTCAGCAAGCTCCAGCCTGGCTTTGTTCTGCATGGTGCGCTTGCACAGGTAAATGGCTGGAGGGAGGAGGAAGGAAACAGAGATATGAAGAGGGCTCCATCGGAAAGGTTGAAGATCTCAATAAATAGCACTGTTTTTATCTTTAAATGTCTCATTTGCGTAATGATACATTAATGAATATCTAACAAGAGCAGGCAGACTTGTGTCTGCTGTGTGTTTTTATAATAATTAGGTGAAGTAGAAATGCCATGCAGTGATCCAGAAACAGGGTCAAGTCAGTCATTTTCCTTTATTAGTTTGGCTAATACTATCCCACAAGATTGTCTCTACTGGATGCTTCACTGAGCCAGATATATCGCAGGGAATGGCCCCGTGGATCAATACACAGCGAGTGTCAACAGAAAATCAGGTATGAGGTGTGTTTCAGGTTTGGAAACACAGCTTAGGGAGATCTCAGCTAGTTTGGGGAGAGAAGCTGAACTTGGTGGAGAGTGCTGACTTACCATAGTCGGTGTTCTCTGGTTCCCAGCAGTTTGAAGGCCAAAAGTATGGAGACTGGTGAAAACAGAGACGGAACACAATCAGCTTTGGTTTATTTTCACCCAAAATCTGATTTGCATTTTGAAACGATGTGCTCTTGTAATCTAGATAAAAAATAACACCTTTCAAACACTCAAACGTCCTCTGCCCCGATCTTGCGTAAAAGGGCAAAAAGGTTTTGTTAGACTCTGATCTGTGACATACATGTTATATAAATTTCCGAGGAGCGATGGCCGCTATTTTCTCTCTATCCATATTTCAGTGTCTATTGCAACTGATATTTAAGATTCAAAGTTCATTTCCAAGTCCATTACTAATTGATATCTCCCATTTGTCATGCATTCTTAATAACAGTGCAAAATTAGAACTTGTCAACCACATATTTCATCTGCGTTTCTTTGTCATAAAGGTAATTAACTCGAGGACAAAGAGCTGATGCTGATGAATGAAGATGAGAGGATAGGTTTCTCATTCTGGGCACTGTCATCTCAGCTCAGAGTAGATTTGTCAATAACACTGCCTGCACAAAAGGAGAAGACAGCTTGCATTAAATCTGAGCCTACCAGCAAAGTGTCTATTTTAGACGACCACTGTTTCGAACGGCATCGCCACGCAGACTGGCCAGTGCATTTCACAGGCACTGTGGACTCTTTTCAGAGGTTCTGATGACGTGAGGCTGTTGCATCCACATCAGAGGGAATATTTTTAGCTGCAGCTGAATGAGCAAGCGTGGTACTCCCTGCCCTCCACGCACAGGCACTATATTGGCTTTTAATACTGAGCAATAAGGTGAAGACAAATGCAATCAGGGGTAAAATGAGGAGGCGGGGCGGCGAGAGGGGAAAAGTACAGACCCAGCACTCAACAGACTCAGCATCGGGGGGCTTGCCTACTCTAACTGGCTTGCGGGATTAAAATCTAATGCCCCGTGATCAGCAGTTGTTATGGACCCATAGCCATCGGAGGGATCTGTCAAAATTAACGATACGATGGAGCAAATGAAAAAAACACCTTTCTGACAAGCTGCACGGCTGACCCATAGGCCCTGTTCTGCGGCCATCTTCTCACGCTGATGCAGCTTCCAGCAGGCATATATAGTATTGACCTTGGTGGGATGAGTAATAGGCTTAGGAAGGATTGTTCTCATTAGCATTACACAGTAAACACATCCCCTGCGATAAACAGCCATCATCTCGTTATTCTACACTCCAAAAACCTCCAAACACATCAAGGACAGTCCCTCAGCAGACCTTTCTGTACCTGAAAGCGATAAAGGGTTCCGTCATCCTTTAGTGTCAGAACGTGGTCAGAGATGGGGAAGATGTAGCCGTGGGCAGCGACCAGACTCCCGAGGTGGATGGCTTCGGCTGGTGAGAGCAGGCAGACACGTCAAATTGCCTTCCTTCTCTATTGTGTGCTCTGTTGTGTTGACATGTATTGACCGAGTTCTCAGCAGGCTTACCCGGATCCTCGATGGAGAGGTTTTTCATCAGCCACTGAACAATATCCGCCCCTATTATTCAGAGACGGACAGTGGTTAGAAGTGGCGTCCCAGTTGCAAAATCTGCAACTGTTCCAACAATATATATAAACACAAAAAAAGCCTCTTGCGCTCAAAGCTGCTGGACAAAGCTGTCACAGCGGCGTAGGCGTCTAAATATAACATAATGCTTTGCTCCTGGACAGCAGAAGATATGGCCTCGGCTTTGCGCTCAGCAGAGGCTGCTGGGAAAGATTGTGAGGCCGTCAGGCCCGAGGACGCCATGTGAAGGAGTGAGTCAGACGCGGCGCTTGCACCCATACGGAGAGAGGGAGCAACCCCCTTGCTGGTGACTCATTTCATACACGAGCACAATCACCAAGGAGGACAGCGTGTACACAGAGATCCACAAAGACATAAACAAAAAAGGAGGAAAGCAGCTTTTCGGGGGTGACAAGGACGGGTGTCACACCACAGGCTGTTTTCCTCAATGGCTAAGGTCTTATCTGCAAAGACAACATCTGCCACCGCTTATAGAAGCAGCAGTTTAGAGAGGAACATTAGGTCACGTTTCCTTTATGGAATCATACTTTTACGTTTTTGCTGAGTCCACTTGCTCACCAGACCAACACAATGAAGGACACACAATTAACAAAACACAAGGTAAGATCAGAGATATACGCCCAAAGAAACACAGTCACATACAGTAGAACACACTCAAATACACAACGATCATGTTCACACAAATACAAACCTGACACCACACTGGGGATCTTGGAGAGGAAACTCTTGACGGTCCGGATGGCGACTCCTCCCGCTTTCTCGTCTTGTATTCGTGTAACAATGTCTTCAATCTGTGGGTTGGAGACACAAGTTGTTTGGTCTATTTTTATATTTTCTCCATCAGATGTAACAAAATGTTAGGAAACCTTTTTCTTTTTTCTTTTATTACAATATAACAACAAAGAATTCAAACTGAGTCTAACTCAAACTGTGTCCCAGTTCTTTGTGCACATCTACTGCATGATGATGCTACCGCTATGCTAACTGCATTATTTGATCACAATTGCCTGAACATTCGCCCCATTTTCGCCCCATTTCATAAAATTTGCAAGAACATGTGGCCAAGCTCCGACGGCACATTCTGAAAATGTCACCAGGCGTAGCCAAACCCACAAAACCACATAAAATGTCTGCGCCTGATGAATGTGCAAGTTTACTGAAGATGATTTCTTCCTCATGCAGCTTTAAAATTGACTGGTGGTCTCTCATCTTCTACTTGGTACCCAAGTGTACAGAATGATGTGATTTGAGACAAGCATCAGAGCAACTTCTGCGATGGAGGAGTTTTCACCAGTGAGCTGTTAGGCCGATGGAAGCAGTAAGAGTGAATTAAAACAATGTGGGGAGAGAGCACCTTGTATGATGTACATCATAACTGGAAATTAGGGATACTATCTCCAGCAAACATTAAACCAGCAAGTCTGAAATTATTCACAAAGCAGCTTTATAGGCCTTACAGGTAAATTAATCTGATACCCAGAGGAGGCCTGAGAACATACTGGAAGCTGCCATGTCCTGTCCAATCCCAGACTGGTGAAAAGGCTTGAAGCCGAATGATTTCATCTAAACATTTCTGGTTTTGATAGTGACACAAAGCGACACACTGTGAGCTGTTCAGATCTATAAAACTCAGACTTCAAAGATGGATCGGACTTGAGCTGAAAGTACAACATGACACAATGTCGAATTTCAAACATATCAACATGGAAGCATTCGTGGGAATTCAATTATAACCAGAGGTTAAAGGCCTTAGACAAAGGAAAAAAGAAAAAAAATCTGTCCCAGCTATTCCTGGAGGCAAAGATAAACATCACACCTCCGACACAGCCAGAGCCCCAAACATATCACACTTTAGCTGCCTAAAATTAGGTGCGACCCAACACAGCTCCCCAACAGTCATCGCATAGGACGGAACACAGCAAGCAGCCAGGAAAACAAGGAAGTATCAAGGAAAGGACTAGCCAATAAAAATCTCAATGGAATTAAAAAAACTAAACAAATATAATATCAATAGAGCACTGACTCCTGGATTGAATAAAATATACCATAGACAGACACTCCAGATTGGTCATCCAAAGCAATTAAACCTTTGAATTCCCAAATAGTCATGTCTTAAGCTAATTTAATTTAATGAAACAACATAAAATAATAGAAAATCTGTCTGACCCTAATTAAATGAGGAGACAGATTTGATCCCTTTTATAACAATAAAAAAACATGCTGGTTATTTACATTTTTTATTACTTACATTACTAGTAAGTTACCAGAGGCCAGTGTAATTCAGAGTTATATTTGTTCAGGATTGCACCACAGCCTCTGTTTCTTACTTCTGAACACTCTTCTCATTCCTCCTTAACTGCTCATAGATGCTCTCCACTAAGGCAGACAGATAGGCTCAAAAATGTTAAATAAAGCTGTTTGTTTGAGATTCTTAACCTGTGTATGTGTATGTTTTCCATCTTTCTGCCATCTGGATGGATTTAAAATGGGTTTAATCACCACTTTGTTCCAGAATGTTATTTGATGTTGGAATAATGCAGCAAAGTTTATTTTTCCCCCCACACATTTATGGCTATAGGAAGATTAAACCCAAACAGACATATGTTGTTTAAAAATCTCTTACACTGTGAGGTCATTTCGGGTTTTGTGTAAAACGTTGCAACAGCAATTGGATCGATTTCCATAAACCGCCTCTTAGGAAGAACTGCAGAGTTTAGTGATCCATGGTGCTTCCAGATGGCGTCATTGTGAGGTCAAATACAGTGTGTACACATTCAGCTATGTAAGATGGTGCTTCAAGGCAAATATTTGGTTACTCACACCAATATAAAAGCTCCACATGCCAAACAGGAACCTGCCATTGCTGTTACCATCAGCATGCAGGCTCTGAACCTCACATTTGCTTTGTCTGAAATCTCTCTGTAACTGATTAATGACCCAGTTTGACCACCATTTCAGCCATCCTATCACTGCTTTTCACTCATTTTGATGTTTTATTCTTCAACATTGCAGAATTGCTTGTTTTGTTAAAAAAAAAAGAAAAAAAGAAGGGGGGAGAAAGATATACACGCAGCGATACAGCTTGCTACATCCCATTTACTCATCCACCATTATACAGTCGAAGGTAATCGTCCTTTCTGGTAGCTTTTCAAGGGTGATTCATGAACCTGCCCCATAAATCCACGGCAAAACACATTTTTGTGACGCACGATTCAGAGTGGAGAAATGGGAGTGAGCAATACCGTTGTGTGGCAAGATAATTACCATTCTCTCACTATTAGCTTGAGAGAGTGTCTTGGAATGAATTATTGAACATCCACAATGGAGAATTACTGCTTCAGCCGTGTTGATGAATCAGGAAAGATGCGTCTGTACCATGTGATTTGTTTGGTTTGCATTTTGCGTCTATATGCTGCGGGAACAACGCACATTGTGATCATGGTGAGACATTCCCATCCTTCCATATGATGACTAATCTGTCATGCAACACAATAACAGACAAAAAGGAACACTTTGAAATCAGTACAGTTCGATCCATCTCTGGATTTCCTAAATCCCCTCAGAGACAACAAGATGAAGAGGATTACGTCCTTTTCTTCTCAGGTTATAATGAGCCTAGGAGTGAGTATTGCTGTATAGAATAGAATAACTCATTATCTCCCTTTAGGGTGACACCAGACATGCAGCACTTGGCACAGCTACAGAAAGTGCTCGCTGTATCTCTTGGATGTACAAGTTAATGGTGTTGTAGCTGTGGAGAGTTTAACACTGCTGCTCGCAAGTGATAACAGCACCCCTTGCTTTATATGACTATCTAGAAAGCTCCATCTCGCATACTGCCTCTGTACGACATGCTCTGTACGACATGTTTACATTACATGCATAAATAAGGCAACCCTAAGCCTTATATTGTAGGAATGTAATGGTGAAGCATTGAACAACAGGCTAAGGCAGCCTCCATGAATGATAGAATGAGTCTGTACAATCTAAAAAAACAAAACAAAAGATGTCACTACTTCCCACAGAATGATTTTGTAATTGTAATCCAATTAAGTGAAAGGAGGGGTGCAAAGAAGTCAGAATGACAGCATCACTGGCATAAAACAATATCCAGAAAAAGCAACACATTGAGCTCTGGTGGGCAGTCTGTAAGCGCGGAAACATTTTCTTCTTCTGCTAATTGAAAATCCGAGCCAATTTCTCCATAAATGGCCAGAGATGAAGCTATTAGAAACTGGCCCCGTCTTGAGAAAATGAGCCTGCTGCGGTTAGAAGATGGATCAGGCAGTAATAGTGCTATCAATGATTCAGCAGTCATCCGCAGACTCAGGGACACGCTGGATGTCACTGAGCAAAGACGTTTGCTGCGAGGAAAAGGACAGATGTCCAGACGATGAGCAAAAAGAAGAATGTCTGGCCTGGAGATAATTATGACACGTCTGAGAGAGCTGGATGATGATGAGTAGTGAAGAGGATCTGAAAAGTTTCCATGTTTGACAACTTATTCAGCGAACCCATAAAGCAGCCCATATGAATGGAATATCTATGAGGCGTGTTTTAGTTAACCACCATCACCAAAAGCCTTCATTTATCAATACAATTATAATACCAGCATCTTATTCCTATCAAAAGAAAAGGGATGGTGCAAACATACGACATTTCGAACGCATTCAGTTCATAGTTATAACCAGATAATACACACAACTATCATTATTTAGCTGATTTTGTGGAAATAAAGCAAAGAATGACACCCCATGTGTTCCTAATTTGATGAAAGAAACTCCCCTCAACCTCTGCTTCCTGTTTGTTTTACTGTAATCTGTAGGGAGCTTTAATTGCCTTTAAAATAAGGAGACCCTTTCAGTCCTTAAAGTTTTCAGAGTGGTTTGTAGTCATAATAAAGAAGATATGAAACAGATTTTATGGTCCTGATGGAAAATTTGCCTCTGACATCCCAGTGCACACTGAATAAAAATAATCACCATGACAGTTTAAAAAACAAAACAAGACACGGTAAATGCAAACATGCAGAACTGGCCTTGGAAATATTAACTAGCGATCAGTGACCAGCAACAGATGCTGAATCTGAGTAGAGATAGTGAGACATAAGTGGTGCCTCTTCACACCTGATGGACGGATACCAAGTACTTTGTGAGGCTGTGAGGTATTTAATGCAGACTTGAAATCAACAAACAAAAGCCTGGAATGAGCCTGGGAATTCTTCCGATGTTTAGCATCCTCCTGCACCGTAGTATCGATTGCATCATGGCGGCCCCACTGGTGTCTGAAGTTTTGCATAGAAAATATTTACAGTATGTCTGCGTTTTCAGACAGGAAGGAATGCTTATGCTTATGCTTCTGTTTCCATAAAGGTCATCTATGTTACAAGGTCTCGTCTTCAAACAATATCCCCGTTTTGCGACAGCCCAGCAGAGGCATCGAGAGCTGCCAAAAGGAGCAACCATCTGCTCCGCCGGCACCTCCGAGGTGTCGGGGAGATTTTCTTCGCAAGGGCTTCAAATTTCTGATTGCGCTAACATGTTTGTGGCTTATAATGCTGCTAGAATCGCAGTTTAGAAGCAGCTCCTTCGCCAGGGCTTCACAGCATGCCAGTTGTTTTGGCTTTGCATTTTAATTCGCCTTGAGTCATTTGCTGTGTAGATTAGTTCAAACCCATGTGATGGTGCCGGATTTTTCCGAGTTGAACGGCTTCATATGGTACACTTAAAATTTCTTGCCTTAAAGCATCTTTGAATAACCTATTTTTTTCACATATTGTTTGGGTTTCTGG